CCTGGTGAGAGGAGCTCGAATAGGCTTGGCAACGAGTGGAATCGAGGTGCTTGCACCAGCATCCTTGAAGATGTGTAAAAGCTTTTCTTTGAACAACTTTGTGTAAGGTGCCTTGCACAGCATCCGCTTCCTGCATCAGAGGAGGCTCGATTGGCTGTCCAGGTGTTTGAATCTGAACTCTGTTCTTAACCCAGGTGCCTGCAGCAAGCTTCAGATTCTCTCCACCTGTTCAAAAGTGAAATTATCTTTGGTCTGTGTCTGATTTCCTTGCCTTTGGTCAAATTTAAGATGTTGAGCACAGCAAAGGCTGATGTTTTCCGTCCCTTACTGAGCTAATCTCCTACAAACCTGCCTGACCCTGTAGTTTAGGGTCACAAATATAACAAGGTCTTTAATTATTGCAGGCTGCTTAGTCATGGGAATGACATCTGACTGTGAGGAATTTACACACAGAGCTAAAGTCATGCTCGCAGTAGAAAACAAGTACTGAGCAAATGTGCATTGTGTTTTTGTTTTGTTTTGTTTTTTTTTAAAACAGTAGAAAATCAAAATCTCCTCCTAAAGTGCCGATCGTGATTCAGGACGACAGCCTTCCTTCGGGTCCTCCCCCACAGATCCGGATCTTAAAGCGGCCGGCGACGAACGGCGTGCTCAGCAACCCCAACTCGGCCACCAGGCCCGCGTTCCCCGTGAAGTCCTTGGCACAAAGGGAGGCAGAGTACGCCGAAGCCAGGAAACGAATACTGGGCAGCGCGAGCCCCGAGGAAGAGCAGGAGAAACCCATTCTAGATAGGTGAGAGTGGCCTCGGCGTTGTGGTGGCGTCTCTGGTCTCTGTGCTGGCTCCTTGCAAACCCCTTCCTGGTGGGAGTGGGGGACGTGCACCTTCCAGCATAAAGTGTGAGAGGCGAGGAGGAAGGAGTGTCTTGTTAATAAGCGTGGCAGCGTGAAACTCAAATATGCAGCAGCTAAAGGGAGTGCTTCTGCCTGGTTAGGCAATAAAGGTTACCTTGTGCCCTTGAAGGAGCACTCTGGGGATGCAGAGAGGAGTGCAGGCAGCCAGAACTATTTTGGCATGACAAAGCCTCATCTCTGCTGAGGTTTTGACTTGAGGTGCTCTCACCTGCAGGTGGGAAACTGGAGTGTAAGCACTCCTAAATGAATGCAGGTGGCTTGGAGGCACCCTGCTCTCCCTTGTGGTTGTGGTGTGGGTCTTGGAGAGTAAGACTTCCAAGATCTTAGGACAGAAATGAAGTGCTGTTCACTTCTGGTTGTGTTCCCCATCCTGGGGAACAGTGCAGCAGGCCTGTGATGGTCAGTCCCATGGCAGTGGCTTTCCACCAAAGCAGGTGCAGGAGCGTCTGTTGGAGGTGTGCATGTTGCATTACACAGACACTGCATGTTGTGTCCATCTCTGATGTCCTTTCTCCTTGCAGGCCGACGAGGATCTCCCAGCCGGAAGACACCAGACAGCCCAATAATGTGATTAGGCAGCCACTGGGTCCTGACGGTTCACAAGGCTTCAAACAGCGCAGATAAACGTGGGCACGAGAGGATGCTGCAGGAAGCAGGGTCAGCTGCCGCGGGTCGCACTGCCGTGGCGGACAAATGGACTTGAGCAAAGGGAACTCCCCGGTTTACTTGCACTGTGATCCCCTTTGCTCTGCCCACTGTGACCTCCAACCCCACGCACTGTGACCTCCCCGCTCCACCCACTGTGATCGGCAAACCGACAAGGGCTGTCCCCAGTCACTGCAAATGGAAAGGGGAGGGGGTGTAAAGGACTCGGACGGGTGCAGAGAGCCGTGTGTGCCACTTTGGCTGAAGCTAGCGCCAGCAATAATGTTTGTTGTACTCGTAACCTGGGATTTAAGGAAAAAAATGGGAAGCCTCCCCAGATGCGCATGTTGTCTTTATCACGTTAAGAGCAAGTTTGGTTTCAAAGGATCTCTTCTTTTTTTGTTTTGTTTGTATATCAGATCGACTTTTGAGGGAGTGCATGGGAAGGGTTTTAACTGTTTAGTTTGTTTTAATTGAGAGAGGTAGTTAAGTGTTTGAAAAGGAGTTTCACTGAATTTCTGCAACTTTAATGGCTAGGGTTTGGCAAGCTTAGCTTCTCGTTCTGTATTTCTACTGCTGCCAAGCAAATGGAAGCAGGACTGCCGGCTACCCAGCCTTTCTGGTCGCCTTGGCCTGGGAGCCAGCGCAGTCCGATGGCCTGGTTTACGTATTGCACCTGTTAAGCTTGGCTAGTGTTTTCTGCTGACTTGAGGAAAACTTAAAGTACATCTTTTTGTGTTTGGGGAGAAGGGAACGTAGATGGATCCCTTGGCGATGCCTGCTGCATGGTTACTGCTTGCAGCGGGGTGGGGTGGTGAGGAACTAGGGCTCTGCTGCATCTGGACATGCAGGCTAGGAGGGGAATAGCGAGTGCTGTGCAGCTCTGCTCTGCTCCACGAGGTAAACCCACGCGAGGAGCCCCGCTCAGTCCAGCCCACGCTCACCCAGCGGCTGGGGTCACGGCAGGGAGCGAGACGGCTGCTGCTCCAAAGGTTCGAACCCAAGTGGCTTATGATGGACCCGAAGGCTCTGATCTGTTACGGTACGAGCTGTACCTGGCGCATTTCCTTCCAGAAATCACAGACATCGGGAACAAAACGTGTTCGGTGAAGTCTGGAACCCTCCTGACATTGTGCGCTGCGGGCGGTGACAGCTGGCTTCAGGGAACGGATGGCTCCTGCTGCTCCAGCTCCTGCAGAGAGGACGGGGCCACGGGCAGCTCGCGGGCTGAAAACTTCCCCGGATGGCAGTGGCGGAGGAGAGCCGCGTGTCACAGGACACTGCTGACCCTGGGTGCTGCCTCGTGCCCGGCTCTGTCCGGCTCTGCACACTAGCCAAGCTGACCTATCTCCACGTTGCTGTCTCCGGGGATCAGATGAACACTACAGCTCTCGTTGGGATGGATGCTGACAGCGGCCGCCCGCGTGCGAGCGGCTCCAGGCTCGGGGCCACATCTGCCTGTCGCTGGGACCCCGACAGCTCCTTCAGCTGGAAGGCTGCGGGCCGGCGGCTTGCTGCGTGCTCAGTACCTGGGAAATGATTTCTGGCCATCGAGCACTGCTCTGTACGGGTGCTGCCGGCTGCTTCGTGCTCGGTAGGTTTGGAAACGAGCACGTGGAGCGCCTTCTGCCCATACAGGAGCGACCGCACGAAATGCCTGCCACGCCGCGCTGCATGGGAGGCTCCCGTACGGGAAGACGCGTACGGAAATGCGGCTTAAACATACCGGTAAAATAAAACTACCTGTATACAAACAGATGGAATCTGCTAGAATGTTAATCGGCTGAGGACTGTGCTGCCCTCCCCGTGGGTCCCCTGAGCGGGTGAGCCTGAGCGGCTGGTGGAGGAGGATGGCAAGGTGGGGAAGGGCAGGAGGCTGTTCCCCCCCCCCCAGGAGCCTGGCCCCAGATCTCCACGGCGTAGGAGGCTGTAGTCGTGCTGTTTACCAAGCTCCCTCTCAGGCTGGAGGCATCCACAGCTGCTTGGCTGGCAGTGTTTTTTGGGTCTTTCTGTTTTTTTTTTTGTTTTTAAATTTCCTCCTCCCTGCAGGCTGGTGGCAAGGAAGAGTCCCCTGGAAGAGCGGCTCTGCAGAGGGAAGGCGGTGGGGAGCGGGAGGGCAGAAGGACATTAGCAATAACCGTAGTCACCGCGCCTTTCCTTAACTACTGCTCAAATAGCTTTGATTCCAGAGGGCCGGCGGCTGGTGGAAAACCACAGAGCCCAGCTCCCGGCGTAGCTTCAGCTGCCCCGCCAACCTTAGACATCTTCTCCTGTACGTCAGGTGCCTACAACCCCTTCTCGTTGCACACGCGACCTTGTTCTCCAGCACCGACTGCGCGTTAAGCCGCTCGCCGGTGGCCTCGGCGGCTGCTGCTCCGTGCCTGTGGCACGGCCGGGACGCCTCCGACCTGCGGGCAGGGCGAGGTGGGGATCCCGGCGGCAGCACCGCGGCCTTGCCCGGGGCTCGCCCCGAAAACGTGCGTCGCTCTCGGGGGGGCACCGAGCGCTTCTCCCGCCGCGGCACCTGGGACGCAGCCGGTGCCGCCCCGTCAGAGTGCGCCTAAGTATGCAGATAAACATTTTATAAATTGTATTTTAAATAAATGTGTTTAAACTTTTCACGGTGCGCTTCGGCCTCCTGACTTCGCCGCCTTCCCTCGTGCCTCGTTCTGTCCCGTTTGGTGCCTTCGGGCTCCCCGGGGGGGTGGCTTGGGTCACAGCGTGGCTGACCCCAGGAGGAGGCTCCTGGAGCCCCTATCCCCGGGGGGACAGCACCCAAGGGGAGCAGCACCCAAGGGGGGCAGCACCCATCCTGGTGGCCCCCCGGGGGGCACAGCGGGGCTTGGGGGGTGCCCGCAGCCTGCTGCCGGGGGTGGGTTTTGGGCTGGGGTCCCCTCTTTGGAGGCAGGGGCTGCTGGGCTGCCTGCTGGGGAGAAGACACAGTGGGGGCACAACGCTTTATTTTTTTTTAATTTCATTTTTATTTTAATTATTTCTTTAGTTTTTATTGTCTTCAATGTTCTCCCTTATTTTTTTTCTCTCCCTTATTTTTTTATTTTTTCTCTCCCTTATTTTTTATTTTTTCTCTCCCTTATTTTTTTATTTTTTTCTCTCCCTTATTTTTTTATTTTTTTCTCTCCCTTATTTTATTTTTTCTCTCCCTTATTTATTTTTTCTCTCCCTTATTTTATTTTTTCTCTCCTTATTTTATTTTTTTCTCTCCCTTATTTTTTATTTTTTTCTCTCCCTTATTTTTTTTCTCTCCCTTCTTATTTTTTTTTCTCTCCCTTTTATTTTTATTTTTTTCTCCCCCTTATTTTTTTTTAATTTTTTTTCTCCCCCTTATTTTACGGTTCTTTCACTTTACTTTTTCTCTCTTTTTCCTTTACCTCCACCTCCCCCTTCCCCGTTCCCTCGGTGCCCGCGGCCTCCCCCCGCCAGGTGCCGCTGCCGATGGCGGTGCCGGGGCGGTTCCTTGGCCCCCCCCCGCTCCCTCCCCCGGCGATGGCGGCATCGGGGGAGCCGTACGAGGCGGTTCTGTGCGTCAAGCCGGCCGTGCACGTCTACCGCCTGCCCCCGCGGGCCTCCAACCGCGGCTACAGGTGCGGGGGGGTGCCCTGGGTCCCCTCCCCGGCCCCCCTGTGGGGACTTGTCTCCTCAGCCCCCTCCTTGTCCCCACAGGGCCGCCGAGTGGCAGCTGGAGCGCCCGGCATGGAGCGGCCGCCTGCGCCTCACCGCCCGCGGCAGCACCGCCTTCATCCGCCTGGAGGACAGGGCCTCGGGTCAGGGGGGGCTCCGAGCTGGGGGTGGAGGGGGGGGGGCTGAGGGCTCCGGGCTCCAAAATGGCTCCAAAATCCCTCATTTTTTCCCCAGGGGTGGGGTGTGGTGCTGGGGGGCCGGTGCCGCGCCTCAACGCCTCAGCCCTCGCCCCTCTGTGCTTGCAGGAGAGCTTTTTGCCCAGGCACCCGTGGAGCAGTTCCCCAGCATCGCTGTGGAGAGCGTGATGGACTCCAGCCGCTATTTCGTCATCCGCATCGAGGACGAGAACGGTGCGGGGCTGTGGGACATGGGGGTCATCCCTGAGCGCCTTCAGAGCCCGTCCTCCATGGGAAGGGTTCCTCTGAGGGCTGCGCACAGGGACACATCGCCTCAGTCCTCCTCACACCATCCTTCACTAACAAAACCCGGTTTAATCACAGTGTGAGGCCGCATCCACACGCACAATCGTCGCTGTGATCCCAGCCTCGGCCTTGACTCGCTCACCTTGATTTTAAAGCTGGATTTACTCCGTCCATAAATCCAGCCAGCAGGCTGGAGTAGTGATGTCAATGCAGCTTGGCTGTCTGGAAGCACAGCCACGATTTTCTTCCTGCCTTGCGTGACAAGCCCTGCTGACAGCATGAAATTGCTTCCCCTCCTGGGAAGTTGGTGGCGGTTCCCCTTCTGTGGAGAAGGAAGGAAGACGTCCAGCTCCTGTCCTGCTGTCACCATGGGGGGTGTGAAGCGGGGCTGGCTCCTGGCTCCTGCCATGTTGTGTGATTCCAGCCTTTCCTCTCGTTCCCCAGGCCGCCGAGCTTTTATTGGAGTCGGATTTGTCGACCGAGGGGATGCTTTTGACTTCAACGTAGCTCTGCAGGACCATTTCAAGTGAGTTTGGGCCTTTCCCTTTGTCCTCTCGGTGGTTTCACGCGGTGGCTGCAGGTGTTCACCAGAAGCGCTGGGGGCAAGGAAGCTGCTTTGCTTGCTTCAGGTTCACTCGAGCAAGGCAGCACGGCGCCAAGAGCTTTACAGGTGGAAACTTCTCTCTCTGCTCAGCCTTTATGCAGGCTGCTTTCTGTCTCTGATATTCCCCAGTCCGTATTAGTGGACTCCCAAATAGTTCAAGACTGGGTAAATTCCCCCATTCCTTTCTTTCCCTTCATTTCACCAGTACGCAGCCACTCGAGGGACTGGGACGCAGCTCAGCTCGCTCGCTGCCAGTCCCTCCGAGCAGGGGAAGATTTGTCTGGCAGGATTTGGGCAGGGTTTGCCTGGCAGAGCAGCAGGCAGGTTGTTGACCCGTCCTTTTCTGTTTTCTTTCCTTCCTGCAGGTGGGTGAAGCAGCAGAGCGAGCTGGCCAAGCAGGCCGAGAACCCTGACCAGGGACCCAAACTGGACCTGAGCTTCAAGGAGGGGCAGACCATCAAACTGAACATTGCGGTGAGGGCTTTTTCTGGTTAAATCCACTCCCAAAATTGTCCTTTGCACGCTCCTCAGGGGGAATCTCACCTTTCTGGCCTGTAGCTGAGGTGTTTTAGGGAGGCTTCAGATGGGTGTCTGCAGTCCTGCGTGGCTCTGCTGCTTTGCCTCACCAGCCCTCAGCTCTCTTTGGGCAGTTTGATTGGAAAGATTTCATATTTATTTCATATTTCATATTCTGTCTTTGTTCCAAAGACAGGTAAGTATGAAGTATAACATACAAAAATAACACCCAGTGGTTTTGATGATCGTCCTAGAAACGTGGAGGAGGAACATCACCAAACCCCTTCCTTTCTTCCTAGCATAACGGGAAGAGGAAGCGTGAAGGACGTTCCCTTGCTCTCTCTTGCTAGCCCCGTTTCTTGTCAGGTGTGAAATGTTACTTCTTGGGGCTGCAGGCTTGAGCCGAGCTGTCTGCTGCCACGCTCAGCCCTCGCAGCCTGCTTCTCCCTGCTGCTGCGGTTGGGCGGCACAAGAGGAAGCAGCGACTTGGTGCTGAAATCCCCTGGTGGGAGGAAGCCCGCTGAGAGCTGGCGGTGGCACGCTGTGCGCAGCGGTGTGCAGAGGGGTGTGTTACAGCTCCCAGGCACAGAACCGTCTGTGGGGATTCACAGATTAAAAAAAAACATCCTTGGTTTCACCCCAGTTGCTGCACTAGCAGTGGGACAACGAAGCACAGCAGTCTTTTCCCCCTTGCTTGTAAGCCTTGGCTGGGAGGGAGAAGAGGAATCACCCTCTAGTTCTGGATTTAAATGTGGTACCACCTAAGTTCCCCTCTCGTGTCCTCTTTCAGAATATGAAGAAAAAGGAAGGAGCAACGGGGAACACCAGGCCACGTCCCGCAGGTCCTGGGGGCCTGAGCTTGCTCCCGCCACCTCCTGGAGGAAAATCATCTTCCTCTGCAGCTTTTCCTTCTGGAGAGCAGCCGTCGTCCTCGCTCTCTGCGCCTGTCCAGCTTCCAGGCACGCCCATCACAGGTCTGTGTCACCTGGAAATGGTTGCAAAGCTCTTTAAGTTGAGTTTCATCCATCGAGGTCTGTTTGGAAAGACTTTAATAGCACGCCCTGATGCTGCTGCAGAGCTCCTCCTGCAGGAGGAGGTGGTGTCAGTGCCCCGTTTGACGGGGAGAAGGGGTGATCACAAAGCTGCTCAGCCTGCCAGGCCAGAGCCAAGGCAGCATCCAGCTCTCTGACGTCCCCTAGCTGCTCACAGCTGCTCTTTGCTTTGAGAGTTTTGGGAAGCAGACGCTTTGCAGAGGCCTTGCACAATTTAAAAGCTGAAAAGACGGTGGGGTCTGAACCCCACTGCACGAATCCTGACCCCTCCTGCTTGGTCTTTGACCATCTGTGCGCAGCACAGAGCTGCGTGCTCTGGTGCCGGGAAGGTGAAGGTGCTGCCTCGAGCTGAGAAATAAGAGTCAGCAACAACAGATTTTTCTTTTTCTCCCTTCTTTCTGCCCCTCTGACCTCCCTGGCTGCTGGCAGACTCCCTCCTGTCCTGGCCGCAGCCCGCTGCTGCTCCCGCTGCCCCTGCCACCGACGCCTGGGGCGACTTCACCAAAGCTTCAGGGTGAGTCGTGTGGGGTTTGTGGGTTGTGTGGGCCGTACCTGCAGCACTAGGGCACACCTGGCCGGGCCAAATCCTGCTGGTTTTACTGCTGCTGGAATAACGTAACGGGGCGGGGGCACTGCTCCACCCCTGCAGGGTTTGGATGATCACAGGCTGGGGGCGTGCTGCGCTGTGCTGGGGGGGCTGTGGGGTGCTGAGCAGTTATGGGGCGGCACCGGAGGACCCATTCCTCATTGTGCTGCGTGCCCGGCCATTCAAGCAGCCCCATGGGGTATCTGACAGCCTTTTTTCCCTCTCCTTCTCCCTCCAGGTCAGCGTCTAACCAGACACAGGCGAATGCCGGCTGGGTGCAGTTCTGAGCCAGCCCCCTCGTCCGCTCTGCCCCGCGCGGGTGCTGGGGGAGGATCACGCGGATTCCACGGGACCAAAGCAGGGGAGGGAGGTGCTCCCTTCCCCTCAGAGCTAGCACGCTGCTTCAGGACACCCCGCACCTCGTTTCTGGTGGCATTGTACTCCCCTAGTCTTCCCCAGGCAAGAAGTGAGACCCCCAAGCCCGGCGCTGGGGTTAAAATGCAGAAGTAGGAGCTGGAGAGCAAACGAGCACGTGCCTTAAAACACTCCGTGCCAGCGCCCTCAAACGTGGGGGCTCTTTTATTTTCTGCCTGGCTCGCAGCGAACCTGTGAGGCTTCAGTGATCTTTTCTGTGCCTTCCTTCCCCTCTTACTGCACTAACACGGCTGCAGGAAGCCAGCAGCTTCATCGCCCTGCGTCTCCTTAACGGCCTGAGGGCGGGAGGGTGCTCAGAGCTCTGCTGGAGGGCTCTGATTTGTTTGCAGTGCCTTTGCTGGCCGATTTGGGCAATTTTTTACTAGAAGCCTATGCAATAGAGGCGGGTTGTGGTGTGCAGCATAGGGCTGCCTCCGTCACAGCCCCCTCGGAGACTTCCCCGCTTTCTCCTCGTGTATTTGTGAAATCTTTCCTCTCTGGCAAGCAGCAGGGCACATCCTCCTGGAGGCTTCCTGCGTGCAGAGTCCTGCTTTATCTCCCGCTCCCGGAGGTGCCTTTGCATTGTGCCAAGCGTCCTGCTCTGAGCGTCCTGCGGGGTGCTGAGCATCACCTGATGGTTTCTGAGCACTTCCCTGGAGGGGGAGAGCAGGGCTGCTGCCTGGAGAGAAAGGCGAGCGCAATGCTGAAATTCTTTCTTGCTCCAATCAGGGTTTTTCCCCTCTGTTTTGAAGATATATTTTTACTTTTTGCAGGCATTTTATTAATCAAATATATATGCAATGAAGGACAGACTTGGTTTCTTTAACAGAGCTGGGCTTGAGATTCCTCTTTAAAAAATAAATATTTTCTTACCTATTTATATTAAGGTGAAGGCCTTCCACAGCACGAAGTTCTATTTTTTCAGTGTTTCAGACTTTTTATTATTTCCATTTTCAACTGGAGGGTAAGCATTTGCATTTCAGAGCTTAACTTTGCCTGGCGGCACGCGGGACCAGGTGAGAGATGTGACACTTCGAAGCAAACAATAAAATCATCTGGATGCCAAATGTGACGTTTTTACACCCAGGGAGTTGCCCGTGTGGGTCGGAGCGGCCGTGAGGCTTCCCGAGGTGGGGAGGAGATGCTTGGGAATGGTTTTGTGCTGTCCCCTCCTTCCTGGTGTCGAGGAAACGGCGCGGGGCACTCGCCAGCGAGGCACAACAGACGGGTGTTGCTTAGCAGTGGCTTTGCAGGGCGTGAGGGACTGCGGGCAAAGCAGGTAAGGGGAGAAGCGGGGAGATGAGGCCTCGTGTGTCCCCGGAGCCCATCGGGGAGCCTCGGGGCAGCTCCTGCACGGATGTTTTTAAGAATCAGGACCTGAGACGAAAGCTGCGGCAGCAGGACGTGTAAATCCTCATTCCCATCTGCTTGCCCCGGCGTGCTCTCTCCTTTGCTGTTAATCCGTGGCTCGAAGGGGCGGCGGGGAGGTGAAAGGGCACTTTCCCTCCTCGGGGGGGGGCAAACAGAGGCTGGGAAATGCCAGGAGGGTGAACCCGTGTGGGACCCGAGGTCGGAGTGATGGTTTCAGAGCGGGGATGCCTCCAGCCACAATGCTCATCCTGCAGCCCCCAGCAGGGGTGGTGCCGCAGGGGATTTTGAGCTCTGATGGATTGACCGGAGCGGTTCCTTGCCGGGCACACACCCTGCGGGCACTTTGCTCGCCGGGGGCAGAAAGTGGCGCCCCGTGGTTCCCCCGGGGTGACAGCAGCTCCCCGGGGGCAGTCACGGTGGGGGAGCTGCGCTGGGGGCTCTGTCCCCAAGGAGGTGACACGGCAGCGCCGAGCAAAAGGCTTCCCGCAGCAACCTGGCACGCTCGACCCGGAGCTTTTTCCTGCCAGAGCAAACCCCTGGGCTTTAATGAGCTTAACGAGGCCGGGCTTCATTAGGGCTTAACGAAAGGGCTCCTCTCCCCAAGGCTACCAGGAGATCCCAAGCTTGGGGAGCTGCATCGGGGGATGGCAGAGCAAAGTAAGCGCGTTTCCACCACTTTGGGGCACGGGGGGTGCTTGGCACTGCTCTTTGGTATTGTTTTGTTTTTTTTTTTTGCCCTACCAAAGAATTCTCCTCCCTTCCTGCTCTGCAAGCAACAAGCCTCGCTTGCTTGTTTTGATTTGCAAAACTCTGGCTTTGCAAATATCCCGTGGTTTCTCAGCAAAGGCTGCAGCAGCGGAGGCGTTAGGACCCCCGAGGCATGCGGACACGGCCAGGAAGAGGAGGGCCCCAGCCTGGGAGGGGAAGGCGAGGATTTCGGGCTAATCCTGGCCATGCATCCGCTTTCCGCTTGCGGAGCGGAAGCAAAGCCCCAAAAAACCAGGCTGGGATGGGGGCACGGGGCTGCTGAGAGCAGAGGAAAGGGGGGGAGCCCATGAGCACGCCGAAGTCGGAGGCTGCGATCGAGGTGGGGACTCGCTGCGCCTCTCGCGGGAGCAGCCGCCGAGCAGTTTTGGTGCTGCAATCGGCAGATTTGCAGCGGGTTTTGCAAAAATCTGCAGTTGCAAAACCTGCGGTGGTGAAGGCTGCCATCGCAGGAAATACGATGGGCAAAACTGCTGCAAATCTGCCGTCACAAAACTGGGGGGAGAAGAGGGTGAGGGAACAAAGCAGCTCGTGGTGGCAAGGCGCAGGGACCCCCCCTACGTCCGGATCCATCCCCTGAGCCCTGTCCCCTCCCGCAGCGGCCGTCCCCGGGGCCATGTCCTCGCTGCTGTCCCTCCAGGAGGAGAACCGCATCCTGCAGCAGGAGCTGTCGCGCCTCGAGGACCTGCTGGCTCAGAGCCGCGCCGAGCGCGATGAGCTGGCCATCAAGTACAACGCCATCAGCGAGCGGGTAGGTCGGCTGCCCTGCCCGGCCCCACAAATCCACCCGTTTTGGCCCCAAAACGCATCTCCCCAGCATCTCCGAGCGGTGCCGGGGTGCCCACAACGTGCCGGTGATGGAGACGTCGGCGCCCGGCGTGCTGGGGCTTGTCCTGTGGGACGCACAAAGCATCCCCGTGCCACCCCCGTGGTGCTCACCCCGCTGCCTTCTTTTCTGCACCGTGGTGACAGGGGCAGAACGAGGCTTTTGGCCAGGCAGGCGTTGCCTGGGGAGATGCAAAACTTGGCCGGTGCACGCTGAGCTCGGCCGGGGCAGCCCAAGCTGGGGTGCAAACCCCTCCGTGCGTGCCTGGTTATTAAAATCCCAAGCAAACAGCCCCAAAATACCCAAAGGGAAAATTGCTGCCTCCATCCCCTTGTGGCCAGAGTGCTGAAAGGTGCTTTATTCACCAGCAAAACTGGTGCCAAGCTGCTGGGCCCCCCCAGTCCTTGAGGCTGGGCTGTTTCTCAAAGGCAAATTCTTGTTGCAAAATTGGGGTGTGTGGGGTGTGTGGGGGGTGTGTGTCTCTGCCGTGCGGGGTTTGCAGCTGCAGGACAACCCCAAAGCAAGGCCGAATTTGCCAGATCGGGGTGCTGGCACCCAGAGGGGGACCTGGGGGTGGTGCTTTGTGTTTTAACATCCCCGAACGAGCGGCACTGGGGGTGCTGCACCCCGTGGCAGCTGGAGCAGTCCCTGCGGCTGGAAGCGGGCGAGCGGGACCGTGGCGGAGAGCCGGAGCCTGGCGCAGCACAACATCGAGCTGCGGCGGCTGCTGGACGAGGAGCAGGCTGCCTACAAGCGCAAGCTGCAGGCGTACCAGGAGGGCCAGCAGCGGCAGGCCCAGCTGGTGCAGAAGCTGCAGGCCAAGGTGGGTCCCCGCCGGGGAAACTGGGGGCGTTTTGGGGTGGGGGGACGCGCACCAAAGGGTGGTTGTCCCTTCGCCGTCCCTTCCACCCAGGTGCTGCAGTACAAGAAGAAATGCGGCGAGGTGGAGCAGCAGCTGCTGGAGAAGGCGACGGAGCTGGAGCAGGAGAGGCTGACGGTGAGCAGCAGAATGGGGGGGTCCCGGTGTCCCCTCCCTTTTCCCAACCGGCACCTCAAAGGGGCTGATGTCCCCGCAGAGCCAGCTGGACATCAGCAGCTCGCAGCTGGAGGAGGAGAGCAGCAACGAGCTGGAGAACGCGTTGATCCGGCTGGAGGAGGAGCAGCAGAGGTACCGGAGGGGGTCCCCGGGGTGCCGGGTGCTGCGGGACCCCCCCCGGGATCACCCCCTGGCCCTGCGCCCCCTCCCCCCAGGAGCAGCAGCCTGGTGCAGGTGAACTCGATGCTGCGGGAGCAGCTGGAACAAGCCAACGTGGCCAACGCGGCGCTGAGCGAGGACATCCGCAAGCTGACGGCCGACTGGACGCGGGCGCGGGATGAGCTGGAGCAGCGCGAGGCCGAGTGGAGGCGCGAGGAGGAGGTCGGGGACGTGGGGCTGCGGGGGGAGAATTTGGGGCCCCGGGGGATGCGGCGCAGAGAGATGCAAGCAAGGGGGTGCACGGAGAGGGATGGGGCTGAGGGCGATGCGAGGTGGAGGGGGGCAGGGGTGCTGCAATATATGGGGCTGTGGGACCTCAGGGGGAAGAATTAGGGGATGCAGAGTGGGGGGGCTGTGTGGGGAGGGCTGGGGGGTGAGAGTGATGTGGGGCAGAGAGATGCAGTGTGGGGAGGGCTGTGGGACCGTGAGCGATGCTGCAGTGGAGAAGAATTTGGGGCTGCACGGGCATGTGGCACGGGGAGGGGATGCGGGGCAGGGATGCCATGCAGAGGGCTGTGGGGTGCGGGATGCAAAGCAGGGGAGGCTGCACGGAGCGGGGCACGGTGCTGGGAGCAGGGTCTGGGGGCTTCAGGGCACGGCGCAGGGAGGGGGCTGAGGGATGTGTGGGTGCCACCCGGCTGCCTTCAGAGGGATGGGGGCTGTGGGGCAGAGGGGTGCAGCACGGAGGACACCCTGCTGCTTTTCTCCTGCCCCAACCCGACCCCGCCACCTCTCCATCCCCGCGCAGTCCTTCAACGCCTACTTCAGCAACGAGCACGGCCGCCTGCTGACCCTCTGGAGGCAGGCGGTGGCTTTCCGCCGGCACTTCGGCCAGCTGCGAGCCGCCACCGAGAGGTCCGGGGGCTGCAGGAGCTGGGGATTGAGGAGGGGGAGAGATGGGGACATCGTGGTGGGGAGCCCCTCTCATCCCCATCCACCCCCTGGCGCAGGGACCTGGCGGAGCTGAGCCAGGAGGTGTCCCGTGCCGGCCGTGCCGCCCACGCCGCCTGCGTGCAGCTGGGAGCCCACCTGCGGCTGGCCGAGGGCCGGGCAGGGGCCGTGCGGGAGCAGCAGGCGCAGCAGCTGGCGCAGCTGGAGGAGCAGCTGGCGGCCAGGGCGCGCGACGCCGAGCTGGAGAAAACCGCGCTCGGGGACAGGTGGGGGTCCCGTGGGGGGTCACCGGGTGTGGGGGGTGCCCGGGAGGAGCTGAGCGCCCACTGACGGGTGCTGGGCATCGCCTCGGCCAGGCTGGCAGAGCTGACGGCGGCCCTGGAGCGGCTGCGGGAGGAAGGTGGGGAGAAGGAGCGGGCGGTGGCGGCGCTGACGCTGCAGCTGCAGAAGATGGTGAGTGCTGGGGAGGCGTTTCTGGTGCGTGGGGATGGGTGTGCGCCCGGCTGCGGTGCGTGCGGGGGTGCAGCACGTGCTCAGACGTGACCCCCAGCACACAGCCACCCCGTGCACGCTGGGGCAGGGCGTGTAGGAAACCAGGATGCGCGTGGGGGTGCAGGGCGCAGCGCCCAGCCAGGACGCGGTGTGCAACACCAGGGTGCGAGGCGTGATGTGTGCTGGGGGTGCAAGGCACGATGCACGCCGGGCGCTTTGCACACCCAGGGCACGGTGCACGTTGCACGCCAGCCGTGTGGTGTTTCGCAGGAGGCCTCTCGTGCTCAGGAGCCATCAGCAGAAGAGGTGCAGGCGCTGCGCGCGGAGGTGGAGCTGCTCCACCAGACGCTGCAGGACATCACCCAGGTGCCCCCAGCCCTCCCCTGCACCCCCACTGCTGCCACCCTCTCCGTGCCTCAGTTTCCCCTCCCGTGGTGGTGCCACAGCAGAGCACTGTCCCCGTCCCTCGCAGGCGGTGCTGGCCGATGACCCCGGGTCCCCGACGGAGGCTCCGAGGCTCCCCTGCCGCAGCCTCTCGCCTGCTGCAGCTGCGGCCACGTTGGGGGCTGTGCACGGAGCCCTGCGGCGCCGGCACTTCCAGCTGCAGGTGAGCGAGGAGGAGGAGGAGGAGGAGGAAGATGGATGTGGGGGAAGATGGATGGGTGGATGGATGCACGGAGGATGAAGGAGGAGAATTGGGGAGGAACGATGGAGGACAGATGGGTGGGTGGATGGATGGATGGATGGATGGATGGATGGATGGACGGACGGACGGACAGGGGCTGGATGGATTGGAGGGCAGGTGGATGGATGCCTGGAGGATGGATGGAGGAGAATGGCTGGATGGACAGACAGATGGGAGGACGGATAGACGGATGGACACGGGGTCAGGCGGATGGGAGGGCGGGCGGCTGGATGCACAGAGGAAGGATGGAGGAGAAGGGACAGAAGGCTGGGAGGACAGAGGACAACCGCTGACCCCGTTGCTCCCCCAGGAGGCCCGGGAGGTGTCGGGGAGCCTGCGGCGGGAGCTGGGGGACAGCGAGAGCCGGCGGGCGGCCCTGGAGCAGCGGCTGGAGCAGCTCAGCGCCGAGGCTGGGGGCTGCCGGCGGGCGCAGGACGAGGCCGTGCGCGAGGCCGCCCGCCTGCGCGCCGACATCGAGCTCCTGCGCAGGTACCCCCTGCCTGTCCGTCTGTCCATCCGTGGCCTCTGTCCCTGCACACCCTCCACCTGCCTGTCCCCACGGCGTGTCTGTCTGTCCGGCAGCGAGCGGGGCCGCGTGGAGCAGGCGCTGGCGGCGGAGCAGGCGCGGGCGGGGGTCCTGCAGCGCAGCGAGGCCGAGCTGCAGCGCCGCGGCCGGGGGCTGGAGGAGCAGCGGGACGAGGCCGCCCGTGCCGCCGAGGCTGCGCGCCAGCAGCTGGAGCACAGGTGGGGACCCCCCCGGTGCTGAAACACCCCCCCATGGGGCTGCAGAATAGTGCCTCACCCCTCCCGTGGGTGCTGCCCCCCCCCTCCGTGGGTGATACCCCCATGGGTCCTCCCCATCCAACGGGTGCTGCCCCCCCCAGTTGGTGCTCTCCCCCCAGTGGGTGCCCCCCCCAATTTGTGTCCCCCCGTGGGTGCCCGCAGCCAGCAGCAGCTGGAGCAGCTGGAGGGGCAGCGGGCGGCGGCGCAGCAGGAGCTGCTGCAGGCGCGGGAGGCGCTGAGCCGGGCGCAGCTGGAGGCCGAGGTGGCGCGGGGCGAGCGGGCGGCGCTGGACGAGGCGCTGGCACAGGTGGGTGGCAGAGCCCCCGCGTCCTCCCCGGGGACGTTTGTGTCCCCAGACCCTGTGTGCATCGCCCCCGGAGACATCTGAATCCCCAAATGGCACATGTGTGTCCCTGGGGGCAGCCGTGACCCCGAGCTCCCCTGCGTCCTCCCTTGGGACATCCAGGTCCCCAAACCCCATCCAGGTCCCCAAACCCCACACACGTCCTCCCTGGGGGCCATCTGCACCCTCGATCCCCCTGCATGCCCTGTGGGGTTAGCCACAGCCCCACATCCCCCTGCATCCTTGGGACATCTGCGTCCCCATCCCCCCTACATGCTGCTGGGGCCACCTACGTCCCCAGAACCTCATGTGCACCCTCCCTAGGGACACCCACACCCCCAGCCCCTCTGCATCCCTCCTGGAACCATGCACATACCCCCAGCCCCTCTGTGCATCCCCAAACCTCATGTGCGTCCTCCCTGGTGCTATGCACATCCCCAGATCCCTGCGTGTCCTCCATGGGGACATCCAGGTCCCCAAATCCTTCTGTGAATCCACAAACCCCATGGGTGCTTTCCCTTGGGCCACATCCCCAGCCCCCTGACGTGGTCCCTGGGGGCACCCCCATCCCCAAACCCTGCTGTGCATCCTCCCTGGAGCCACCCCTGTTCTCGGTCCCAGGCTCAGGGCAGCAGCGCGGAGCTGGAGGCAGCGCTGCAGGAGGCGCGGGCGGAGGCAGCCCAGCTGCGGGAAGCCCTGGCACGGGGCAGCGAGCTGTCGGCCAGCCTGGCCCGGGATAAACGAGAGCTGAGCCGGACCCTGGCGGGGCTGGAGGAAGAGCGGGAGGCGGCCGGGGAGGCGACGCGGGCGCTGGAGGGGCTGCGGGCACGGCTGGGGCAGCTGGAGCGAGGCCGGAGGGACGTGGAGGCCGAGAGGCTGGGCCTGGAGCGGGCGCGCAGGGCGGCGGAGAGGGGCTGCGAGGGGCTGCGGGCAGAGCTGCGGGCACTGCGCGGGCAGCAGCAGCAGCTGCGGGAGCGGCTGGGGCAGGTGCGGGGCTGGGAGGGGTTGGGGAGGTGCTGGGGGCGATTGGGGGAGGTGGGGAGGGAGCTGGGGGTAATTGGGAGGGTGCTGGGGGAACTGGGAGGGTGCAGGGTGCAATTGGGAGGGATGGGGAGTGTGCGTGGGGCAATTTGGGGAGGTGGGGAGGATGCAGAAAGCAAATGGGAGGGTGCTGGGGGAACTGGGAGAGCGTGGGAGGAAACTGGGAGGGTGCAAAGGGCAATTGGGAGTGATGGAGAGGATGCAGGGGGGTCACTGGGATGGGTGGGGAAGGTGCTCGGGGCAATTGGGAGGGTGCTGGGAGGGTGCATGGGGTAATTGGGAGGATGCAGGGGGCAACTGGGAGGGATGGGGAAGGTGCGTGGGGCAATTGTGAGAGTGCTGGGGGAACTGGGGGGATGCAGGGGGTAACTGGGAGGGAGGGGCTGGATGCTGGAGGCAACTGGGAGGATGCTCAGCTCAGCCAGGAGGGTGCGTGGGGCAACGGGGCGGGCGCAGCGGGTCACTCGGAGGACGGGGAAAGGCTCCCGGGGAGCAAGGGGGACCGGGAGGGCGCGCGGTGGCCACGGGCGGAGGCGAGGGGTGCCCGTGGTGCTGCGGCCGCAGGCGCTGGAGGAGCAGAGCGCGGCGGGGGAGGCGCTGGCACAGGCCCGGGGCGAGCAGGAGCGGCTGAGCACGGCGCTGGAGCGCGCCACGCAGGAGCGCGAGGGGCTGGCCAAGGAGGCGGCCAGCGTGGCCGTGCAGCTCGCCGCCGCCCAGCGCGACGCCCGCGCCTGCAGCCAGGAGGCGGACGGCCTCAGGTGGGTGCCCCCTGCCCCGACCCGCTGCCCGCTGCCCACCACCCGGCCGAATTTCGGCAGCGTGTGTCGTCCCGGGGTGGCAGGGCGGAGAAGGCGGCGCTGGAGACCGGCCTCTTCGAGGCACAGGAGGAGCTCGGGCAGCTCCGCGCACGCGGCCAGCAGCTGGAGGCTGAGGGACGGGCACTGCGCGTGGCCAAGGAGGGGCTGCAGGGTGAGTGGGGCGCTCGTCATCCCATCCAGCCTTGGTCACGGCGCTTCCCGGCTTGGTTTTGGGGCGGCAGCCTTGGGCACATCACTTAGCTCAATTTTGGGGACCAACATCCTTGGTCACATCACTTACCTGCTCAATTTTGGGGATTGATCCTTAATCACGTAACTTTTCTGCCCAGTTTTGGGGCGGCATCCTCAGTCGCATCACTTAGATCAGTTTTGGGGGTTTGGAGCCCTCGTTCCCACCACCCACCCGCCCAATTTTGGCCCCGGCAGAGGAGCTGGGCACCGTGCGGCAGCGGCTGGCAGTGGCGGAGCAGGAGGCGGTGAACCTGCGCGGGACCCAGGTGGCACGCGAGGACGAGCTCGAGCGGCTTCGGGGAGAGAAGGTGGGCACCGGTGGGCTCCAGGGAGATGCTGATTTGTGGGAGGGGGGGGCCATGCTGATTTTGGGGGTGGTGATACAGATTTGGGGTAGGGCGATACTGAATTTGGAGAGCAGTGCAGATTTTGGAGGGCGATACAGAATTTGGAACAATATTTCCGAGGCGATGCCGTTTTGGGGGGAGGAGCGAGAGTTTGCCAAATTTCGGGCTGATGCCGATTTTGGCTCGGTGCTGATTTTGGGGGACCGGTGCCGCTTTTGGGGCGCAGCGGGAGCTGGATGCGGAGCGGGGCCGCTTGGTGCGGGAGCAGGAGGAGCTGGCGGCCGAGCTGGCGGCGGCGCGGACGCAGCACGACGAGGGGCTGCTGCGTGCCGAGAGCGAGAAGCAGCAGGTGGGTGTCGGGGCCTCCCCCCGCCCCGTGTCCCCAGTGTCCCCCATGTCCCCGGTGTCCCCCAGCCCCGTCTGAGCGTGTCCCCGTGCAGGCGCTGGCGCTGCAGGAGGAGGAGAAGGCGGCGCTGGCGGGGACGCTGGCGGGGCTGCAGCAGAGCCTGGCCGAGGCCACGGCCGAGCTGGAGCGGCAGCGGCACGAGGCCACCGGGCGCCACGAGCAGCAGCAGGTGGGTGAGGGGGGGGCTGGGACCCCCCCGGGCATGGCACAGGCTCCCCCACTGCAAACCCCGTGCTCTGGGGTTGCAATGCCCCACGTCTGGGTGTCCCCCCATTGCCCAGCCCTCACCTCCTGCCCTGCTGTGAGCTCCCCAAGCCCCCACGATTTGCAATCCCCCCCCCATCTCCCCATCCTTGCAACCCCCTGAGACCCTTCTCGCTCACACCCCCCCCCCAGCCACCCACCCCAATCCCAACTCGAGCCCCCCAGTTTCCAGCTGCCCCCTCCCCATTGCAAGCTCCCCGGTGCCCAGCCGGGGCAGGGAGGCTCGGGGGGGGTTCAGATATTTGTGCCCCCTCCCGCAGAGCCTGGCTGCGGAGCTGCACACCCTGCGGGCACAGGCGGAGGCCGCGGCGGAGGCCCATGAGCGGGAGGCCAAAGCTCTCCGCGAGCAGGTGGTGGCGGTGGCCAAGCAGCGCGACGGCGCCCTGCGGGAGGTGAGACCCCCTCTGCCCCTATCCCTTCCATCCTGCCCCCCAAAAAAATCCTCCTCCACCCCTTGAACCCCCGGCTGCAGGCGGAGGAGGTGCGGGCGCAGCTGCAGCTGGTGGCGGAGGCGCGGGCAGCAGGGCAGCAGGCGCTGCTGGAGGCGCAGCGGGCGGCACAGGAGAGCCGCGAGGGCCGCGAGGCGCAGCGCAGGCAGGCGCAGGAGGCGCGCAGGGCGCTGGGCGACGAGGCCAGGGAGAAGGAAGCCCTGAGGCGCTCCAACGAGGAGCTGCGGGCGGCCCTGCGGCGCACCGAGGGCGAGCGCATCAGGTGCGAGGGGTGCTCGGGGTCATGGGGGTGCTGGGGGTTCCCCGGAGTGGGATGCTCGGGGTGGGAGAGGCGCGGGAGGGGGAGGTGTCCTGCAGGGCGATGCTTGGGGTCGGGGGATGCTCAGTTTGGGTGGTGCAAGGCATCGGAGGGGGATGCTCGGGACTGGGGGGGTGCTCGGGGTGGGGGGGTTGAGCTGAGCAGGATGCCTGGGACAAGGGGGTGGCCGAGCTGGGAGATGGTGGAGATGGTGCAGGGCCTTGGAGGGCAATGCTCAGGCTGGGGAGGGTTCCTGGGACAGGAGAATTCCCCATTTGGGAGGTGCTTGGGGTGGTGAGGTGCCTCGGAGTGCTGCTTGGGGTCGGGATGATGCTTGGGGTCAGGGCGATGCTCAGGATGGGGGACACCGCTCGGGGCAGGGGAACGCCCAGTTTGGGAGATGCTTGGGGTGGCGAGACGCTTTGTGGGGTGACACTTGGGGTCGGAGCGATGACGAGGATGGGAGGACCCCCCCAGGGCAGGATGCCTGGGACAGGGGCTGCTCAAACGGGGAAATGTGCGGGATGCAGCAACGCCTCGGCGGGTCAGCACAAACATTTGTGGCCGAGGCGATGCCTTGGCGGGGGGACGGGGAGGACGGGCACCAGCCCCCTCCTCCGCCAGCCCCTCTCCCCCTTTTTTGGCAGCCTGAAGCGGGCCAGCGAGGAGAAGGAGCAGCGGCTGGCGCTGCTGGCGGGCGGGCAGGCGGCGGCGGCCAGGGAGACGGAGAGGCTGCGGGGGGCCCTGCGGCAGCTGGAGCACGACCGCCTCGAGGCGCGCCGCGAGCTGCAGGAGCTGCGCCGGCAGGTGAGGAGGGGGCGGCGGGGGGACCCCCGCCCCGGCTGGGATAGTGCTGGGTGTGGGTGGGTGTCTGGGTGTCCATCTGTCTGTCTGGAGCCGCCTCCCCAAGCCCTGCGTCGTTTTCTTGGGCAGGTGAAGGCGCTGGACAGTGAGAACAGCAAGAAGAGCAGGGAGCTGGAGGAGCTGCAGGCACGCGTGGCCCTGGAGGAGCAGCGGGAAGAGGAGAGCCGCCGGGAAGCCTTCGGCCTCAGGAGGAAGGTGGTGGAGAGCGAGGCTGGCATGGAGGCCACCAGGAAGGAGGTGGGGTCCCCAAGTGTCCCCATCGCCCCCACGCCCACCCCGTGTCCCCGTGGGTGCCCCTGCTGCTCCGTCGCTTGGTGCCGTGTGTGCCCCCATCATCCCCTCTCAGCCCCTGATGTCCCCATTGCCCTGCTGCTCTGTCCCTGGGGGTCCCCCCCCCTCCTTGCTCCATCCCCTGCATCCCAATCACCCCGCATCATGTGCCACCTGCATCCCTGGGCGTCTCCCTGTTGCTCCATCCCCTACAACCCAGGGCACCCCCATCGCTCCCTCCCTTGCATCTCCACCACCCTTTTGCTCTGTCCCCTGCACCCTGGGCATTCCCCATTCCCTCCCCACGCCCCCAGCACCCCGTTTCTCCCCGCCCCGCACCCCAGCCCTACCCCTCGCCTCCTTCCCCCAGCTCCAGCACCTGCAGCAGAGGCTGTCGGAGGCGGAGGGCGAGTTCCAGCAGCGGGAGAAGGATCTGTCCCGCAGCCTGGAGGAGGCTCGCGGCCACGAGAAGAAGCTGCTGGCCGATGCCCGCAACCTGCAGCTGAAGATGGAGGCGGCGCGGAGCGAAGCGGCCGAGCTGAGCCTGCGCCTGAGCGCGGCTGAGGGCCGGGCGCAGGGGCTTGAGGCTGAGCTGGCCCGCGGCGAGGAGCAGCGCCGGGCTGCCGAGACGCGCCTGGGCAGCCTCCAGTCCGCCCTGCGCCGCACCATGGGCATCGGCCGGGCCCGTGCTGCTTCCCTGGGCAAGGGTGAGAGCACCCCGGGGCTGCCCTTGCACCCTAAACCTTGCTTTAAGGCCCCATCTGGCGGCGTGTCCCCCCCCGTGCCACTCTGTCCATCTCCTTCCAGGCGGTGCCACGGAGGGGACGGGGACCCCTGGCTCGTCCCCGGACCCCGATGCGGCCACCGAGCCCGAGGTGGTGCGGGCAGCGCTGCGGGATTTCCTGCGTGAGCTGCAGGACGCCCAGCGGGAGCGGGTACGGCCTTCCTCCTGCCCCTGCCCTGCGTGTCCCCAAAAAGCTCCTTTCTCGCCCCGTTTTCTCACCCCAGGAGGAGCTGCGGGTGCAGGTCTGCAGCCTGGGACAGCGGCTGGCAGAGGCGGAGGCGGAGCGGGACGGAGCCGGTGCCCGGGCACTGCAGCTGCAGAAGCTGGTGGCTGAGAGTGAGGAAGGTGATGGGGGTGGTTTTGGGGTGGATTCCCCCAGATTACTCGGTTTTGGGTGCTGCAAGCAGGTTTCATCTCCCTGCGACGTGTGGCTGCTTGGGATTTGGGCACGCGGCGGGGCATCGTGGCCAGTGGGTGCTTTGGGGGAAAATGGGGCGGGGGTGGTGATGCTGCACTCAAATGCTGCATGCTTTGTGGGTTTTCCCATACACATCCCAAAATACTAGCAGAACTACTAAAAAAACATAACAAAATAAAGGATAGAGTCCCCGTAAAGCCCAGTAAAATTGGAACCCCCCCCCCGTGCACCCCAGTAGAACCGGTGAAACCCCCACGCATCCCGCACAAACCCCGGTAAACCTGTCCGACCCCACTCGTGCGCGCCCCACAAGCCCCATCTGAGGTTTGCAACCCTCGGTGTGGCTGCGGCAGGGCGGCGGGGCGCCGACGGCAAGCTGGGCAGCGCGCAGGCTGCTCTGCTGCTGCAGGAGGAGACGCTGCGGCGGGGCGAGCGCGAGCGCCGGGCGCTGCTCGAGAAGGTGTCGGCGCTGGAGCGCAGCTTGCACGCCGCCGAGGGCGAGCGCCGCTCCGCCCAGGTGGGCACCTGGGTCAAAACCCCCACCTCTCCCACCCCCCCCAGCTGCATGCAGCCTGGCATGCAAGATGCACACAACCTCCAGGCATGCTGCTTGCCAGCTTGCGCACCAGCTTCCATGCAAGGCGCTGGCACACAAACTGAGCGTGAGCTGCTTGGAAGCTCGCACACAAGCTTGTATGCAAGCTGCCCGCAAGCTGCTTGGAAGCTCGCACGCGAGCTTGTATGCAAGCTGCACGCAAACTGCTTGCAAGTTTGCATGCAAATTGCATGTCAGATGGACACAAGCTGCTTGCAAACAAACTGCACGCACACTGCTTTCAAGCTCGCACACGGATTGCACACATGCTGCTTGCAAGCGTGCAAAGTGCGCTCAAGACTCTTGCAAGCGTGCACACAAATGGCATGAATGCTGCTTGCACTTCAGGCTTGCATGCTCGCTGCTCGCAGGATTGCGTACAAAATGCTTGCAAGCTTGCACACACGCTGCTCCATCCCTTCCAGGAGAAGATGAGCATGGTGAAAGCCAGCGAGGCCAAGCTGGAGGAGGACAAGCGGCGGCTCAAGGAGGGGCTGGAGGCTGCGGAGAGCCGCGGAGCCCGGCTGGAGCAGCAGCGGCAGGCGCTGGAGGACGAGCTGCAGCGGGCACGGCTGGCTCTGGGCGAGCAGCAGGCGGAGGCACGGGTGCTGCAGGACCGTGCTGAGCTGCTCCAGAGGCAGGTACGGCCGGCTTGCAATCCCCACACCCATTGATTGCCTCCTGCGCTGAGCTGCGTCGGTTTTTATCGGTTTCCCACCCCGCTGGGTGCAGCTCGGGGAGAGCGAGCAGCGCGCCAGCACCTTGCAGCTCTCGGTGGAGCGTCTGAGCACGGTGCTGGTGGCCGAGGCTGAGAGCAGCTCGAAGGACCGTGCCCAGGGCTCGCCGCTGACCGACGGCAGCTCGGCCCCGCAGCGCCTGCAGCAGCTCCAAAGCGCCCTGACCGCCGGCGAGCTCGACCGGCGGATGCTGCAGGTGGGCATGGGCACCCCAGGGTGCGCGGGGACCCCCTGGGCTCCGTGTCACCGTGCGTGTCCCCGTGGCAGGAGATGCTGGATGCAGCCCGGCGGGCGCTTTCGGAGGCTCGGGAGGAGAAGAGCGCGCTGCGGGAGCAGCTGCGGGTGCTGCGGGGAGAGCGGGCGGCGCTGGAGCTGCGCAAGGAGGAGCTGGAGGCGCAGGTCCGGCGGCTGCAGGAGGTGGGAGCCCCCAGACTGCTGGCCTTACCCCCGGGGTGTGCTCTGTGCCCTTCTGCCCACCCCATACAGCCATATGGGAGCTGCAGGGTGTCCGATCCTGCCCCCCTGTTGCAGATGCTGTTGCAGCAGGAGGAGAAGGAGGCGGCGGCGCTGCGGGGGCTGCGGGCGGAGAAGCGGGGGCTGCAGGAGCGTGTGGGCAGCCTGCAGAGCTCCCTGAGCCAGCTGGAGGCCGAGCGGCGCGAGGCTGAGCGCTCCTCCCTGCGCCTCGAGAAGGACAACAGTGCCCTGAAGAAGACCCTGGAGAAGGTGAGCGCCCGCCGCCCCTCTTGGCACCCTTGGGTGCTCTCAGGGTTGCCCCCACGCCCGTGCACCTCTGGGGACACAAACACGGCCCCTCAATGGCTGGGTACCCAGGCTTGGTTCGCCCAGAAGCAGATTGGGCATGGCTATAAAAAAAGTCCTAATAGAGCAAAATCATTTCCCGAGCGCAAAATGCGCTTCGTGCAACGGGGGCACGGCTGCGCAGGGGGGGTGTGCGCCTGCACGCGTGCGTTTTGTGCACCGGAGCGAGGCGTGTGACAAAACAACGGGTTGTGCCCGCTCCTTGTGCACGCAGCTGGCGCGGGAGAAGCTGAAGACGCAGGAGGACTCGCTGCGGCTGGCGGTGCAGAAGGGCCGCCTGCACCGCTCGCTGGGCACGGCCGAGCAGGAGCTGGCGGAGGCGCAGAAGCACATCCAGGTGCTGCGGGTGGGTGCCCCCGGGCAGGGGACGTGGCCTCGTGCAAAGCCTTTGGCTGCGCTTTGGGTGCAGGCAGGGGCACCCTGGGGTGCTGCTTGCCTGCTTGGTGCGCCCTCGTTTTGCAGGGGGATGGTGCTGGGCTGCTTTTGGGGCTTGCTGCAGCTCGGGGAGGTGCTGGTGCTCACAGTGGGGTGCTGCCGGGCTCTTTCGGGCTCCTCCCCACCTTAGGGCCACCCAGCGCCCAGTTTTGGGGTGACCCCCTTGCGACTCACCCAGGCGCGGGTGTCGGTGCTGGAGCAGAGCCCCGGGGCAGCGCAGCAGCAGCAGCAGCAGCAGCGGGCGCTGGATGCCCGTGACCGTGGCCACCACCCCCTGGAGCAGCAGGTGAGGGGGGTGCCGGGGCCGTGTCCCCCCCCCTGCAGCCCACCCAGGCACCCCCAAACTCACCCCCCCGTGCAGGTCGCGCTGCAGCAGGAGCAGGCAGCGCAGGAGCCCCGCCGCCACCCCAGCAGCATTTAGGGCCGTCGGGGTGAGCAGAGACCGGTGCAACTCAGCTCACGGGTGAGGGCCCCGCTGGGCTCAGCAAACACCTGTGGATTTTTTTTTCTCGACGTTCCCAAATCCCACTCTTCTCCAAAAAAAAAAGCATCGTGTTACCGCTGAGACAACACTAGCGTATTTTTGATACAGGGAGGGTTTTCCCCCTGTTTTTTCTACTGCAGTTTTTTTTATAACCAGGGATTGGAATTAGGACTTTTTGTAGTCCTGGGTGCCACCTGCACACAACGGGAGCAGCAGGAGCGCCGCGGTACCCGAGCGATCAGCTTCCAGTGCTGCCCCCGTGGTGGGATGCTCAACGGCTCCTAACTTTTCCTAACACCTCTTTTTTTAACAAAAACTAGTTTGTGCCAGGTTTTTTTGCACAAGTCATGCAGGACGGGGATTGTTATTTTTTTTCTACCACTATTTTTGGAGATATTTTTTTTTATTGGTGCTACTGGGGTCTGAATTTGGAGCTTGAGCCAGCAGCAGGCGTGAGTGCGGCCCCAACCCTTGTCCATCCCCTCTAACCCTCTATTAAACGTGCAGAAACCCAAACGGGCAGCCTGTGGTGAATTATTTCGGAATGGCAGCCTTTTGGTGGAGGTTCAGGACGCGTAACAAATTATTATTATTATTTATACCTCCTTGGGGGTGAGTTGCAGCGCTTTGCACAAGGGCTAAAGGGGAGAGTCTCAGCACCCCATTTTGGGGCTCTGCTCCTTGTTTGGGGCACTGGGAATTGTATCGGGGATAAAACCTGGGGCTCCTGCCCATGTGGGCACTTACAAAGCGGTGGAAGTGAAATGGGGGCTGGCTCAGAGGGAGCCCCACGCCCTGTATGGGGGCTGGATGAGCCCTACACGCTGTGTAAGAGCCCCACACCCCATGTGAGGGCTCCGTGAGCCCTACACGCTGTGTAAGGCTGACACAACACTGTAAGAGCTACAGGTTGTAGGGGCACTGCACACTGAGAGCTGCACCCCGCTGTTTTTCTATAGGAGAACTGGAGCAAGCCCCTATACAGCACCCTTAAAGTTCAAGCTGCTCCCTATAAGTGAACCAGAAACTAACCCCAAACAGCCTAAAATACCCCAAAACCTCACAGCCCAGCTAATACCAGCGCTGCCTCCCCTGTGCAGGGCTTGGGGACCAGCTTCGGGATGGGGGCGGGGGGGAGGAAGAGGATGAGGAAGCTCATGGAGGGAGCAGGTGCCGGCGTCCCTGTCCCCATCCCATCCCCGATGATCCCAAAAGATCAGGGACACACAAAAAAAAAAGAGACGGGAGCCGCAGTGACCCTTACGCTTTTTCTCTTGGATACTCTACGCAGAAAATGGGGCGGCGGGGGCTGGCGCCGCCCCCCCCGTACAATATAATAACAAAAGTAATAAAAATAATCACCCCCCCTTTATTCTTATGTGCACCAAAAAAAAAAAAAAAAAATGGACTTTTTTTCTTTTTGTTATGCTCTTTCATGCACGGTTTCTTTCTTTAGCACCACGGTGAGGAGCCGGAGCCCGGCGGGCAGGGGAAGGGGCTCGGTGGGTCCCGGCGAGGTGGGGGGGCGGCTTCAGCACCCGCCGCAGCTGCGGGCGCAGGACGCGACCACGGTCTGGCAGAGCCCGCTGGTGGCCATCACCCCGCACTTGGAGAACTTGTCACGGCACAGGTCGGCTGCGGGGAGGCGAAAATCAGTGAGCACTTAGTGGGGGGGGGGACACACCGTGATGCTGCCTCCCCCCGCCCCCAAACTGGTCTGTACTGGTGGCGGAGCGATGCACGGAGCTACCCGAAATGTCAGCATCCTCCTCGCCATCGAGGTGCAGCCACCCAGGGGTGGGGGGCATCCGAAAAGTGTGTGGGGGACGCGTCCCCTCCTGTCCCTTACCCCGCAGCAGCTCTTCGTGGGCGCACACGGTGCGGACGCAGATCTCCTTGTTGATCACGTAGACCCGGCGGAGGCTGCGGGGGGCCAAAAGCAGAGGGTTTAGCACCAAAAAAAAAGCAGCGGGACACCCCCAGGGGAGGCTGGGGGGGGGGGGATGACAGCCCCCTGCACTCGCCTGTAGAAGCAGATCTCGTTCAGGCACTGCTTGCAGGGCTTGTGGACAGAGTAGAGCCTGGTGCAGGGGTACTGCTCCTCCCGGCAGTCTGCAAGGAGAGCCGGCATCATTTTGGGGTGTTTCACCCCGGATTGAAGCCAGATTCAGATCCAGGGAAAATCCCTGAGCTGCTGGCATGGGCTCAGCAGCGCGTTCTTCCCCATCCCTACTCAATAGGAGGACAAAACCCCCCTGGGGATAAGGGATGCTCAGCGTGTCCCCGGCACTCTGCCAGCCCAGCTGCTTGGCAGAATTCTTATATGGGGAAAATGACTCAATTTGCCCCATTTTTTTATATTTTCAATGGGACCAGCAGCAGCATCACACCCTGAGCAAGGAGAGGATTGAGACGAGCACTCACCCAGGGGTCCTGGCTCCGTGGGCTCAGTCTCGGGGGCAGCAGCTGGGGAAGGAAAGCAGAATTTGGGGGGGAACAAGGTTAAAGAGGGAAGGAGAGCGTCCCGCTGCCCCCTGCCCAGGCTTTTAGGGATGAAACATCTTCAGGATGGTGCCTGGGGTGCTGCTCGGCTCGGGAGCAGCACCGTGGTGGGGATGTGGCCGTCGTATCACACCCACCTGGGGTTGGAGCTGGCACGATCTCCTGCTGGGACTGCTGCTGGGACTGGTACCGAAACTGCTCCTCAGGGGTGCGGGGGGTCACATCTGCAGGGACAGAGCCGTGAGGGTGCACACCCTCACCCAAAAACCTACCTGGCATCCCGTGGCAAAGCACTCACCGTGGTAGTCGTAGTAATCCTGAATCTCTAAGGAAACAAGGGAGAAAAGCAGGATGAGTGTTTTTTATTTTATTTGATGGCACAGGGAGAAACAGCGCATCGGGGTGAGGCACTGCACGTGGGCAAGGTGTCGCAAGGAGCTCCCCAAAGTTTTGCAACCGGTTGGAAAATGTCCCGTGGAGTCACCTCCATCAGCCACACAGGGTTTGTAAAGCCTTAATGAAGGCCTTCGGAGATAATTGGCACCTTGAAGTGCTGACACCGAGGAGGGGAATGGAGAAATGGGGAGGCACTTGCACATGGGATCAGGGAGAGGGAAAAATGGGAAATGTTGGGGCAGGGATGGAGCAGAGAGCGTTGAGATTGATGTGGGAAGAAGCATTGGAGCACAGTGTAGGGAAAACAAAGCTGGAAGGAGGAGGAGGAGAGAGGCGAAGGCTCCCCCAGTCACAGGTGCTCTCACCTGCCTGCTGGTCGTACTGGGAATATTGCACCGGCTCAGGGTAGGTGATGCCTTCAAACCTGCTGTACTGGCCCTGGACCAGGAGCGCTGCTGGGAGCACACAGGGGGGCACAGACATCAGTGGAGTGGCCAACACAGCTCTAAACCCCTCTTCCCCATCCTACTTTTGGGGGAAACCAAGTATTTGCCCCACAGCCATGAGCCCCACACCATCCCCAAAACCCTTATGTGGGAGCAAAAGGGGGCTGCTCCCTATTTTCTTCCTTTTTTTTTTTTTCTTTTTCCAGTTTTAATCCTCCTCCTCCTCCTCCTCCTCCTCCGCCACCTCTGGGGACCTCGGTGCCTCACCCAGCTTCCTCACCCAGTGTCTTGCAGCCCTGGGGGGGGCTGGCATCACCCGGTCCCCCCCCCACCCACCGCTGCCCCCCTCATCCCTCGGCCTCGCCTGGTAATGTTTTCCAGCTGTTTTCAGACTTTGCGCTGAGCTGCTTTCGCCTGAAGTTTTCCTGGCTCCGGGCTGCCGGCTTCGCTGACTCGCTCCTAATTTTCAGCAGGGCCTTTGCCAGCCCCAGGGGTTGTGAATAGAATCGGGCTGGGAGCCACCTCCTGGCCCCCTCCCTGGTGGCAGTGCTGGGGGGGAATTCCCCATGTGAGCCCCCCCACCCCCTGGCAGCTTGGCTCCCCAAACTGGTGCCAGATCCCCTTACGACCCCCACCCCAGCCAGAGGCAGTCTCTGGGGTTTGGAGACACCCGGCACAGTTTTGGGGTGGTTTTGGGGCTCAGCACTCACCTGGCAGGCCCAGCAGGACAAGGCACAGCGCTCTCATGGTGACGGGGCCGGGAGGTAGATGCAGGAGTGCGGTGCGGTCTGGATCGGGCAGGGGGAAAAGGTGTGGGGTTAGCAACAAGCCCGGGCCCCCCATGTCCTGCATCAGCCCCCCTCGACCCTCACGCACCCCTTCAATACCCCCCCATACGCCCAAAAAGCCTTGCAGGAGCAGGGCGCTGAGCAGCAACTGCAGCTCGTGACACGGGTGTCAGCATCCCTGAGGGCTGAGGCTGTACCCAGGGGTGAGGGCTGGCTGCTCGAAAATTAAAAGCAAAGGGAAAAAAAAATAAAAGGGAAAAAAAAGAAAAAAAAGAAAAAAAAAAGAAATTTCCCAATGGTGGGAAGCCAATGCACAGGCTGGGCTTCCCGCCCCGAGTGCGTGCGAGAGCCCTGCTCCCATGGGAATTGCGAGGAACAAGCACATGGAATATCCGCGGGCAGGATGGCGAGACCTCCCGGGGAGCCTGGGCTTGGAGCTGGCGACCTCCATCCCATACAACCCGACATCTGGGCCCCCCCCAGGCTAACAGAGCCATGAGTGGGGCTGGGGAAATGCGAGCTCAGCCCCCCCGGGATTGCAGCCAGAGCCCAGGAAGGCGCTGCAGGGTTTTGAACCCTCGGTACAACCAGCGCAGCCATCAAACATCGTGCACGGGGATGGGGAGGGAGGATTCGGGCACTAAAGTGGTGCTGGTCTTCAAACACTCCCCAGGTTTTTGTGGTGCTCCCCTCTGCGGGTGGCACTGTGGAAGCGATGCTCGCTTTGCTCCGGTGCGGGGCTGCACTGGGGCTTTGGTCTTGGGGGGCAAAAATAACTAAAAAGGATGATGAAAGACTCCATTTCTCTCCCTGCTCCTCACCCTCAGGCTTTTTCCCCACTTCCCATTAAAACCCAGCTTCCAGCCTGGCTCCATGCAAAGGGCCCTTGCTGCAGGGAGAGCACGGATTGCCTAAAATCACAGGGAAAAGAAAAAAAAAAACACCCTGCTTTCGAGCAAAAGGTGGGTGGGAGGTATGGGGAGGAGCTGGCGGCGGCTGCCCCGCGTCTGCCTTGCTCTCCAAGGGCTGAGTGCTTTCCAAGCAGCGATTCCCCACGCCAGCTCGAGAGGGAAAACTGGAAAAAAAAAAAAAAAAGAAACAGAAACAGAAAAAGAAAAAGAAAAAGCCTGCCAAAAAACTTTCATGGCTGCCCTCCTTGGAAAAGCAACCAAATGTGTCTGTCTGTCCAGGACGGAGCATGCCGCCTTCCCTGCTGCGGGATGGGGACCCCTCCCAGCTCTGCTGATGGGGAGGGGAAACTGAGGCAGGGGCGGAGGGGAGCCCAAGTCACCGTTGTCTTGTTCTGGCTGCAAAATTTGGGCTGAAATTGCCTGTCCGTGGCAGGATGGGCCCACACGTGCACCCACGCTGCCTGTCTCCCTGTGGTCCCCGCTGGGGAAGGTTGGGTCTGTGGGACCAGCAGGGCCTGCACCTTCTGGGGCCTGTGTCCTAGACCTGCTGCACCATCCAGGGGCCGCATCCTGCGCCATCAGCAGAGCTCAGCACCTCCCAGGACCTCATCCCTGGGCTCACCCAAGCACTGCACCTTCCAAAAGTTGTGCCCTGCACCGCCAGCAGGGTTGCAGCCCCTATGGTTCACGTATTTCCCCCATCCCCAGGCTTGTAGGTCCTGCGGTCGTTGCCTTCCAGGCTCTGGGAGATCCATGGGGCCAGGCCCTGCCTGAGCTGAGCTTGGAGAACCACGCTTGGACGAATGGGCCCCAAACAAAGCCCGGTCCCCTGGGGGTCCCCAGGGGCCCTGCCACCCGCAGCCCTGCCCCATCTCGCGTCTGGAGCTGGGATTAACCCAGACAAAACGTGGGCTGAAAGGGATCGTGTGGGGATGAGCCCCGGGCTTCTGTGAGGCCTTACCCAGACTGGGTGGGCAAGGCCTGGGTTTGGTCCCCAAACCACCCTGACCTGCCTGGGACAGCTCAGGCAAGGCCCAGGGCCCAGCTCTGGAGGCACCACAGCCCACACGGCCCCATCTCCCGGAGTCTGAGCACCCAATTTCTGAATTTCCCCCAAACCCGGGGCTCTTCTGCTCCCCGAGGCCCTGCTGAGAACATCCCCAGCTTGTGGGGCTCAGCTGGGAAATGGGGCCAGCTGCTGCATCCCCCCTGGGGACATGGTGCCACCACCACCGCCTCGTCCCCCCCCCCCCAGAGCCACCACCACCGCCTCCAGCCCCCGGCTCCCATTTTGGGAGATGTGTGGAGCGAAGCTGACGGCGGCCGCGATGTCTTCGCCCACCCGACACCGAGACTTTCCACAACGTGTTCGCAAAAAGGCAGGGGGCTGGGGGCACAGCCGCCCCCCCTCCTGCCCCTCGCCCACCCAGGGCTTCTCCAAACATCAGCCCCCGGAGGTGCCCCGGCGGGGGGACCTCTGCGTCCCCTCGGCTCAGGCAGCGAGCGGGGGTCCGGCGGCTGCCCCGAGCCAGATGTTTTTGCAATGCACATCTGGGAACAATCAGTCCCGCAGAAAGAACACCACAGCCTCTGCCTTTCATTCTGTTAAACCCCACCTTCCCCAGCCTTTTTTCCCCTCCCCCAGCTTTTTTTTTTTTTCTTTTTTCCCTTTTTTTTTTTTTTTTTTTTAAAGCTCTCCAGTTGCCAGAGAGTGCGAGAACAAAGGGAATATGAAAGGATTCAAATTTTCTGGCCCCTGACCAAAGGTTAAAAAAAAAAAAACAAAAAAAAAACTTTGCTGCGCTCTCCCCCCCCCCTGCACGCCTCCCCGTTTTCACACAGCGCAATTCCAACAGGGTCCCCCTCCTCGCCTGTCCCCCCTGGATATAAATAAAATAAAACATGACTGAAGTTTTCAAAATCCTGTCTGTAAGCACTGGTTCCAGGAGAGGGGGGGGGAGAGGAAAAAAAAAAAAAAGGAAAAATAATCCAGTTTCCTTCAGACGTTGGGGTATTTTTAGACTGATTGAAGCGGTTACAAATGGGCCACAGCAGCTGTCAGGCTGCAAAGTTTCCGAAGTTGGGGTCCCCCAAACCGTCGCTGCCTCTCCAGAACCCCAAAATCCGTGGGAGTTTTCTTCCCAGGAGCTCAAAGGGCTGGGAGCGGCTTTGGGGCGCTCGCCTTGCCCCAAGGATGAAGTCGGGAAGTTTTCAAAGCAAGCTGGCAAAGCCAGCAGTGGACCCCCAAATGGGCTCCCCAAAACAGGCTTTGGCCCCCCCAAACGGGCTTTGGCCTCAAAACAAGGCTTCAGCCCCCAAAACGGACTTTGGCCCCCAAAAACATGGTTCAGCCCAAAATTGGGGCCACCAACGCGCGGACGCGGAGGATGCAGCGGGGCCAGGGGGCATTGCCCCCAGTGCCGGGGACTCCGCTCACGCCTTACCGCTTCGGATGCTATGAGCTGCCTTCGCCCTTGCCCAACGCCTTGGTCTCTTCTCTCTGGGCTCAAAAACTCCGAAATGAGAGAAAAAGCTCCTACCTCCAACATGGGGGCTCCACTGGGTCCTAATGCGACACCTGATCCGGCCCCTTCCTCCTCCTCGCCCAGACAGATGCTGCCTGCCGGGGGGAGATAATAAGAATAACAACAACAACAAAAAATTAAATCAATGAGCACGCATTGATGCAATGGGCTGTGCGAAACTTTGGTATTTTTTTATTTTTTTTAAATCCGGCTGGATTTTGACCTGATTGCAGGAGAGAGGCGGGAGGAGGACTTTGTGCAGAGCTGACACCATGAGTTTTGGGCCGTGGGAGGGGGTCCGTGGTGTGGGTGCTGGTCTGCAGCAGCATGCTCCTGAAAAACTGGGGCAACCCCAAGAAATTGGGGCTGCTGCCCCCGCATTTGGGGTTTTGCTGCGCTTGCCCCTGGTTGTAAAAAAAAAAAAAAAAAAAAAAAAAGAGGTGAGGGGGGGCAGGCTTTTAATGGAGGGGGTGAGCCCCCCGCTTTGTCCCTGGGGATGGGAGGCAGAAGGGGGGGACGTGGGTGCCACATGCACCCATTGCACCTGGCTGCTGCAGCTGCAAAGGCGCAGCAGATTTATAGGTTTATGCTGGAGAGGGGGGGTGGGTGGAAATACTGCCCCCCCTCCCCTTTTCCCACCCGGGCCATGGGTGCTGGCTGCAGCATTTGCTGCTGGCCGTGGGGCCCCTTTCCCCTGAGCCAGCGGGTTTCCAGCAGCCAGTGGGGGCACAGGGCAGTGTGGGACCCCCACGAGGATGGGGGCTGCTCGGCTTGCAGTGGGGGTGATGGAAAGCCCAAAGCCCCCCCCAGTCCTCCCCCAGTCCCCCTGTAACCCTACCCATGGTGCTCGCCCCTGCTGCAACGTCGATCCCGGCGCTTTGGGCTAAAACCCTGCAAATTTTAGGTGTGTTCCAAACCAGCTACGGAGCAAATTCATGCTCTGGAGGGGGCCGACAGCTCTAAAAACAATGAGAAAATCCAAGGTTTCAGATGAGAAAGAGCAAAAGGAGGAGGGGTGTGGGGGGGGGGGCTTAGGGTGCTCCTATCTCACATCAGGTCTTTTATCCAGTCTTAACACAGGGCTCCGCAGGATGGATAAATCCACGGCTCCCACCACATCTCACAGCTGCTGCCACTGAATTTCTGCCTCCCCTAAGGCCTGGGCCCCAGCTCTGCCCCATGTTAAATTCTCCCAGTGACTCCATGCACTTTACGCCCGGGGGACACCCCCCTGGGAACCTGGGAACACCCCGCAGAGCCAAACGAGGAGCGGGGGGAGGCAAAAAGCAGCGTGGCTGGGCACCTGCTCCAGGCCGGACAGCACGGGGACTGAAACTGCTGGCACTGATCCTGCCCTGGGCTTATGGGGCCAAATCTATGGGAATTTGGGAGCTGTCCGCTGCCCCCAACAACTTCACCTTGGGCTGGGCGCCTTGGTGCGGGTGGCAGGCAGAGGGGATGGGTGATGCTCGTGCTTTCGACTCCTGCATCCAGTGCATGCTGCCAGAGCCCTGCCCAGGCAAAATCTCTGTGGGTTTCTTTCTTTTTTTGTCTTTTTTTTTGTCTTTTTTTTTTTTTTTTTTTCCTTTTGCTCAGGAAGCCTGGTTTAATAGCTCAAACCCTGGCTAGGATTTCAGGAAACCTCTTACCTCTGCTTGTGCCTCATTTCCTGATCTAATCCCTAGCTCCGGGAGGGCAGAGAGGCACCGCTAGTGCTTGCGGGGGCTCAGACTTCACAGGCTTTCCCTGCCTGGAGCTGGGCTGGGGGGCAACCCAGAGACCCCCACCCCTCGGCACGGGCGGCACCGAGCTGTCCCTTCCCTCTCCCCACCTGCAGAGCTCGGCGATTCCCTCTCCAGACGCGGCACCTCCATCTGCCGGCTCCTTTTGACTTCCACGCGCCTCCGCTGCAGGAAGACACGCTGCCCGATGAGCGCTTTTGCACGGAGAGCCGTCTTGGCGAGGACATCTGCTTTTTTCCAGCAATTATGTTTTTCTTTTTCTCTCTCTCTTTTTTTTTTTTTTTCTAGGAAATTCCAGCTGGAAACAGGCTGGGGGTTATTCACAGCTGCTGCGCCACTGCTTGGTTTGGGTTGCTGCCTGTTCCAAAATCCCAGCGGTGCTGTCCCCGGGCTCTCTGCTTTCAGGCATGAGGGACAAAGTGCCCACAGCATCTTCCTGTCCTGATGGACAACCAAGTGACCCCAAACCCCTCTCACCTGCTCCGCTCGATGCTCTCCACACCACCACCCCGTCCCAGCAGCCCACTCATACCAGCCAGCCTAGGCAAAGTGGTCAAGAAAATAGTGTTAATTTATTAGACACACTCACAACAGCACCATATGAAAACCAGAAGTGGCACGCCATTCTCCCAACTGCACTTACACCTCTATGCACTGGAATGGAGTTAAAAAATAGATATTCGGGGTTTTTAATGCTACAAAGCTCCTGCCTGACAGAGCCGACGGCGGGAGCGCTCTGCAGAAGCATCGCCACTGTGTTCATGTGAAGAGGGCTCGGAGGGACTTTGCGGGATCCCAAAATCTCCTGCAGCTCGGGGCAGGGGATGCTGCCCTTCCAACTGCTCTGGTGAACCGAAGGGCAAAACCTGCTTCAGCTCTGCATGAAACACTCCGAGCCCCCCAGTGGGACACAGCGGCTGATGGCTGGCTCAAGACGCATCCTTTGCAAAGCTGGGGCAGTTTGTAAACAGTTCCTACACATCCAGGGCAGCCCAGGGGGAGGAGGAAGCGGGTTCTTCACAGTGAGCAGAGCCCTGAGGCCAGTGTGGGTGCCACCACCGCCAGCAGGAGAGGGGACCCCTGACTTCGTGGCTTTGACCAGCCAGGAGGGCATGGGGCTCGGGGGGAGAAGGGAGGCAGCGTCCCCGTGCAAAACTCCCCACTGTGCTCCTCCAGCATCTCCCACCGCCCCATCTCGGCCAGGGCTCAGAGGGACGCGGCTGCAAGACTGGCCACAACCTTTCTGCAGCGCGTGGCTTCACAGCTGAGATGCTGAGGGTCTCCCTGTGGGGAAGAGGAGCCGTGCTGCCCATCTTCAGCCGCCTGCTGCATCCCTTGCCTGGGACGGACGCCTCCGGGTCACGCTGGAGCCAGGCACAGATGCTCGTGGCTGGCCTTGCTACCAGGCCAAATAAATACACGGTGGCAGCCGAGCACTGGCAGGCAGCACCTGCCCACAGAGCAGGGAGGAGGGAGGCTCGGTGCCTGCTATCTGACGGCGATGGACAGCCTGGGAGTAGCGAAGAGCGGTTCGTTAAGGGGTGGCCAAGATGGCTGCTGCTGGCTCAGCTCCTTCTCCAGCCTCTTGAAAAGCTTTTTGGACGCTTTCTTCCTGCGCAGCTTGCGCAAGCAGCTGAGCATGCCGTGGTCCAGGGCGGTCTGCAGCAAAGAGAAGGGAAGGAGAGGATTTGAAGAAGGGGTTGCTCAGACAGGCACGTGGGATGGGATGGGCTTTGCAAAACCCCCGTGAGCCCGATGCCCTCGTGCCCACCTCCAGCACGAAGGCGGCGAAGAAGTTGAGTGTGGCGATTCCCAGCAGCAGCAGCTTGAAATTCAAGTCGTCGATGCCCTGCAGCTTCAGCAGGGTTTTGGGGAAGCCCAGCGGATACACGGTCAGCCATATCATGAGGCCAAAGAGGATGACGAGGACCACCAGGAAGAGCACTGAGGGCAAGAAGGGGGAGGGAAGAGGCTGAAGGCTTGATTTCTCCCTTTGCCCACGCAGCCAGCCTCATCCTCACCATTGGTGTAGAGTGGCTCCCGAAACGGGTACCCCTTGGACATGGCAACTGCCAGGATGAGGTACTGGAAGCCCGTGACGCAGAAGATGACCGTGTTCTCATAGTTGGGCAGGTTCTGGGGAGCCGTCACCGTGCTGTTCAGTGGCACATACCTAAGGCAGGCAGGGAAGAAGACAGGGGATCAGAGGGGGGCTTGAAAGGACAGGTGAGAGGAGAGTCCAGATGCTGTGCCACCCCTTGCTCCATCAGCACACAGCAGCCTTTCGCTGCCAGGTGGCCTGATGCTTCCTCGGGGTTGGCCAAAGTCAACGCTGTCCCCATGGCTAAACCCACACGGAAGCAGGCAGCCAGGTCCCGTACCAGCTCTGCGAGACGGTGATGAAGTAGCTGAGGACTTGCACGGTGATGAGCAGAGCCGTCTGGAGGAGCAGGCTGCCCAGCACGAGGATGCTGATCAGCGCCCCATGGGGACGCTCCGCTCGCAGCTCTTTGGCGGGACCCGTGCGACCCATCAGCACCGCCACGGTGGTGGTGATGATCAGGTCGAAGAAGAGGAACTGGAAGTCGCTCAGGTTGGTGTTAATCTGGGAGGGAGAAACCAGCCGCTCTCAGCCAGGCGGGTTAAAATCCAGCCGTGACACGGTGAGTGGGAAGCACCCAAAGGCAGCCCTGAGCATCGTGCAGGTGCGTCCCGCTGGCTGCCCAGAGCGGTCTTCCCACATCCCCCCGTGCCCACCTCCTGCCCAGACAGACGGACTCACCGTGTAGAGCAGCAGCACAGACACGAACTGCACCAGGCTGTACAGGGCCATGTACTTAAACACCCCGAAGGAGGTGACCAGCGAGCACCTGCCCTCCCTGCAGAGAGAAACAGACCCACTGTGCTGCAAGCCACACTCCAGAGAGGGGACAGAGGCACCGAGACCCCTCCGCCTGGTTTTATCCCCACCACAAAGCTGCTGGCTGCTCACCGGATGACCGTGGGCACACACTCGATGTTGGCAAGGCGGGAGGTGAACGGCGATGCCACGGATGCCTCTGCCTCCGAGAGCGAGATGCCCACATCAGCCGCCTTCAGCGCCCCGCAGTCGTTGGCCCCATCCCCACACATCCCCACGCAGTAGCTGCAGAGAGAAGGGGTCGGTTAGTGACACCAGGACAAGGGGAGAGCTGGGGGCTTTGGAGTCCTCAAGGTCATACCCAGGTATTTGGGATAGTCCCTGTGTTTGGGAGGGGCTGGGATGCAAAACCGAGCTGGGAAAGCCTCAGGCACACAAGAAATTCCTCGTGTCTACTTGTTCTCTTTTATCTCCACTGCATCTCGGGCCTGGGGGACTTACTTGAGCTCCTGCAGGCTGCACACCAGCTGAGTCTTCTGGTCGGGCGACATGCGGGCAAAAACGGTTGCTCGGATGAGAATCTGCAAGGAGGGGACAGCTCAGTGCTGGCGCCACATCCCAGGGGGCAGCACCCAGCCCGTGGCTCCCTGCAGGTGGGATGGGGACGGGCAAACCTTGGGCAGCAGCTCAGGGAAGTGCTCGCGAACCACAGCGAAGGACTTGCCGTTCAGTGCCAGGTGGCAGGGCTGCGGGAGGCACCCATCCTGCTGGTACAGACCCTGCCAAGGAAAAACGCTCCCTCAGCGCACACTGAGCAGCAGGGAAAGCAGCTCGTTGCCTTGATTTTGGATAAAAAGCTTGTTTTGGTGATTGCTGTGCCGACTGCCCAGCCCCACAAGCATTGTGTGAGCACTGTCTGAGGAGCACCGGGCAGGCTGCACGCAGTGAGGGCATTTGGAGCAGCTCTGAGCCACCGTTTCTGGGACATGTTCCCAGAAAAAGGAGCAGGTTACCTTCTCCTAAAGCAGGTATTTAATAAGGGGGCAGCATCGCACTCCCGTTCACCTCTGAAGACAGCAGCACTGGAAAGAAGCCCGGTGCTCTGGGCTGGGCACAGCCCCCCGAGACCATGCCTCCAGGCTCACCTCCTCCGGCTGCTCCTCGCCCTGTGAGAGCTCCGCGGGGATGAATTTTAGGGCAGCAGGTTTGTCGTGGCTGGGCGGGCAGGCGCTCACGAAGAGGACCTGCTCCTTGGGCTCCACCATGCGGCAGCTCCTGGCGACGTTCACGGCTGTCAGCATGTTGTCTCCTGCAGGCAGGGGCAGCGGCGTGGAGCTATCAAGAGTGATGTTTGCAAGCCAACAACAGTCCTCAAAGCCCGGCAGGTGCTGCTCGCCTTGCTGCAGCGCCCTGCTAGCTGTGCAAATCGGGATGCTCGCGGGACATCCACATTTGTGCTGTCAGGGGTCTGACAGCGAGAGGTTTTGCTGCTTAAGCAAACACCAGGTTTGAGGGTTAATGCTGCGCTGGTCATAAAGGAGCTTGCACATCCCCACCTCTCTACAGCTGCAAATCCATCAACAAGGGCGGCCAAAAGGGACACAATGTAAACAAGTATTGGGGATGCACTTAAAAAAGGTCCCGGGAGCCCTCGCTGTGCTTCCTGCCAGATTCAGGCCACTGATTTCTGGTGGAGAAACCCTTCATCCCTTGCACATTACGGCTCCTCTGTGCCCAATCTCACCCCCAAGCCCAGTGTCCCTGTTCCCCCAGCATTGTCACCTGTCACCATGACAGGGCGGATGTTGGCGTTCCTCAGGAGGCGAATCACGGGCTTGGACTCTGGCTTGAGGACGTTTTTCATGACGAGGAGCCCAAGGAAGGTCAGGCTGCTCTCTGCAGAGTCCCTGTGGGGATACAGCGAGCTGTTTGGCTTCACCAACAGGAGTGGATCGACACGTGTAAACCGGCCAATCCATCCGGGAGGCAGCCAGCAATTACTCCAGCATGGGGTAGGGTTTAATTGCTTGCAGGCTGCCAGGATGGGGCAGCTTGCAGGGCAGCAGAGTACAAAACATCCCCTGAAATACTCGAGGAGAGCAGGCGATCCCACTACTGAGATTTGCAGGAGTTGCTGCCGCAAGGCCCCAGCCCACCACCACGTTACTGGCGCTTACGGGTATTTTGCAAGCACCAGAGCTGCCTGAAGTAGGAAGGAGGGTTTGGGTTTGACACTGCCACTTGGCCTCTCTCGCCCTGGACCTTTCCCTTGCTCCCTGGCAGCATGTTACAGTCAGAGCTGGAAGCGGCAGCCAGCACTAATGGAAACAGCTCACAAGCCCGTGCCCTAAATTGGACCTCTGGCAAACACATGCCTGAAAACAAAGTGAATAGGATCTAAATGGAGAGAAACATTATTCACGCCAACCTTGTCAGCTGCAGGGCCTCCTCGAAGGTCGTCACCGTGCTCAGAGGTTTGTAAGCCAGAGCCAGGACGCGGAAACCGTCCGTGGTGTAGAACCGCAGCATCTGGGAGAAATCTGCGGGCACTGCCAACCGCAAGGGAGGAGCAAGGTCACAACGGCTCCCAAATTACGCTGGGATGCGGAGGCCCAGCGCGGGGAGCCGTGGCTCAGGCACGTACCTGTTTCCTTCCTGCACAGGCTGGCCACCATCTCTGGTGCCCCCTTGACGTAGGCTTGGGCAGCATCCTCACCAGGCAGCTTTGCCAGGACGCTTGTCCTCTGCAGGGAGGAGGAGAAGGGGAAGCGCCGGAGGATCCCCACGGGTGACTGGTGCTTCTGGGGGGGGAAAGGGAGAGTCAGGGCTGGGCACGAGCTCCTGCCATGGGAGGTGCAACCGCTCTGGGGCTGTGAAGCACAGCGCAGCCTCCTCTGGGCTCACCCTGCCTGGCGGCTGTTCTGCCTCAGGTGGAGGCCTCATCACGGCCAGGACCTTCGTCCCAAACTGCTGGAAGCTGGGCAGCTCGCCGTCATCCTCCTCCATCATCTCCAGGCGCTGAAACCACGGCAAAGCCTTGCAAACCCCAGCTCTGCCCCGCGGATGGTTTTAACACCCCCTTTCTCCTCTCCCAGCAGAGCAGACCTCCATCTCCATGCAGACAGATGCCCCACCGCTTTTCTTACCCAGCCGGTGGACTCCATCATCTTGAGGTCCACGGGGTCCCCGATGGGCTGCGCCCGCAGCAGCGAGACGGTGTGGCAGGCGGCCAGGGCATAGAGCAGGGGGCCAGCAGGCAGGTGGCGTGGCTCGTCGGCAATAGGCATGAAGCGGTGGTCCTCCAGCGGGACCACTCCCCAGACATCCAGCCCTTCCTCCGTGAGCGTCCCGGTCTGTGGGGGCAGAGCAGTGGGTCTGGACCAGCCTCCGAGCTGGAAACTGGAGCGCGGTGCTGCCCCAAACTCACCTTGTCGAAGCAAACCAGGCGGATCTTGCCGCACAGGTTGATGCGGGGAGGGCTGATGCAGAAGATGCCCTGTTTCTTCAGCCTGTTCTGGGCGTAGATGGTGCCCACGGTCATAGCAGCCGGGAGAGCCGGCGGCACGATGACGGTGACGAGGTCGAGGGCACGGATGATGATTTGCCCCACAGGAACCTGGAGCACAAGGGGAGCATAAGTGGGGTGGGCACCTTGAAGCCACGCATCGGTGCTGGGTCCATCAGCCACATGCATGCAGGGATTGAGCAGCTCCTGCAGCCCTACCTGGTTTTTAACCAAGATGAGGATGCTGTACAGCGTGCCGATAAAAGCTGTGTGGGAGAAAGAACGGGCTCCGTTACAAAGCCAAGCGGGGAGCCTGGGTTCAACCCCTCGAGAGGAATTTGGCAATGCCTCCCTACCCAGGACGGCGAGGAACAGGACAAACTTCACAGAGTCCTTGTAGAACTTGAAGCTGACGGGCTTGGGGTAGAGGATGGAGGTGATGAGATCCCCTTTGGCCGTGCAGAACCCTGTGGGAGAGGGGCAGAAGGTCCGCACGCCCAAAGCCACTGCCCTGAAGGAGACGGCTTGTCCCCTGTGCGCTGCTACCTGTGCGGGTGACCACGGCCAGCACCTCCTTGCCCACGTAGGACTTGGCTTGGATGACCTGCGTCCCGCAGAACAGCGTGTGCCGCCGGTGTTCCTCGGGAGAGTAGACAGCGCTGGAGGCCTCGCCGCAGGCCGGGAGAGGCGTTTTCATCACTGGCACGCTCTCCCCTGCAGGAGAAACCCGCGGCGGTGAGGAACGTCGCAGAGGGAGCTTTATAACCCCAGGGTGTTAGGATCCAGCCAGCCTCTCCGGCAGCCTTTGTGCACAGGAACAGGTGAACACGAGGATGGGAAAAGGGGCTGCTGAGACGTGAGGTGTCCCTCTGGGTCCCAGCGCTCTCACCCGTCAGCATGCTCTCGTTGACCATGCACTCGCCCGTCAGCAGCGCGGCGTCGCAGGGCACCAGCATCCCATCCAAGGGGAGGCTGATGCAATCGCCTGGCACCAGGTCTGCGGAGCTCACCACTGCCTCCTCTGGAATAAAAGCCCGGAGTGTCAGGCATCACCCCCACACCTGCCTGCCCACCACAGAGCACCCACCGCCCCCCAGCTGCTCGCAGACCCCGCGCTCACCTCCGTCAGGGCGGCGGACTCGGACGCCGACTGACATCTTGGCCATGTTCTGCAGCGTGGTGCTTTGCTGCAAGGGAGGGAGCCATTATCAGCCCCTCGAGGGAACGGAAAGCTCAACGAGCACAGCAAAGTGCCCGTAAGACAATCGGGTCTTGAGTGCACCCGGCTGTGAACCACGTGCAAGGGATGAGGAAAGCTGCTCCGCTGCTGGGGCACAGGTTGTGCTCAGCCAGCCGCGTTCAGCACCGGCAGAGATGCCAAGCAGCTTCAGAGCATGGGTTATTCCACTAACATCCCACATAACCCACGTCCCAGGGTGGAAAGGGGTTTGCTAAGCTTTTCTCTCTGTTTTTCCCAACCGCTGCCCACCACCAACCTTCCTCGTCTCGTAGAGGGACAGCCCCAGGGAGATGGTGGAGATGAGGAAGATGCAGGCAGCGTAGTAGTAGTAGGCGTCGCAGACCCACAGCACGATGCTGAACACTTGGAAGATGTAGAAGGGGTTGAGTACCTGGAGAGAGAGCAGGTTTTGGGGAGGAGAGCTTCCTCCAGACCGCTGTGAGACCCCTGGGCTCCTCGGGAACCCACTGCTGTTGCGAAGGAGAAGCTGGCCCTTCCCTGGGGCTGGGCACGGACTAGCTGAATTCTCCCAAGCCCCCCATCCTCCCCAGCTTTGCTTACGCTCAGGACTCTGAGGATGCTCTGCAACTACCTGGGGATGCTCCTGTCTGAGCTAAGGGGCAGGATGGGTCCCTCCTCTGCCTGCTGCGATCACTGCCCAAGCTGCCTCTCCTAAAGTCCTCTCCTCCCTGCCAGCAGGGCCAGGCTCTGGGAGCGCTTGCAGGGCTCTCACAGCCGGGAACACGTCACTCTCTGGAAGCACAGCTCTGGCCATGGGTGCGTACCTCCTCCACCAAGAGCCTCGCATAGGACTTGACCGGCACCTCGATGAGGTTTGGTCCGTAGATCTTCCTTCTGCAGAGGGCAAAAAGAGCAGAAGGGGAGCAAAGAGGGGAAAAGCTGCAGTGCCAACCTGATGTGCCTCACCCCGTGCAATGCAGGAGTCAAACAAAGGCAGTCCAGCACACCTCGGTACCACTAAACCACCTCGCTGCTATTAAAACCCTTTTTCTTCCTCTCTTCATCCCTCCACAGGCCAGCGAAGCAAGTGGGTGGCACAGTAGCCTCGTGACCTCTGTGTATCACCTGGGAATGGCCCAGATTAACTCCATGGTCTTATATCCAGGGGATTTGGTTAACGGTGGTAAAAGCTTCTATTTTAAATCCATTTCATTTCAAGCATGGTAAAGATTTGAGGTGTTTAAATGACGATGCAGTGGTCTATTACCACTTTTAACTGAGCCCTCAGGGCTGTCCTTGGTTTTGAGGGCTGGCTGTGAGAAAAATCCCACGCTTCAGAATTTGCTTGACCCTGGAAAAATCTCAACTGGGTGTCCCAGGAAGCTGCTGAATCCCTACCTGGTGTTGTGGTCTTGCTGGTCGAGCCCTGCCTGGGAGAGGTGGAGATCCGCACAGGTCCAGCCTTCATCCAGGACGCTGGCAAGCCCGGGGGGTAAGAGAAACAAGAAGAAATGGATTCAAAATCAGCAGGAGCCTGGCCCGGCGGAACAAACAGCACGTCCAGGTCCTCGGCGACAAAAAACCCTTTAGGAAAGAGAGAGCATCTTGTTCCCTGGGCTCGGCCATGGCTTGTGGGTGCCAAGGCTGGGAACAGGAACAAAAGGGGCATAGTCTGGAGATCTGTGAGCAGTGCAGCGCTCATCCAGTGCCCGAGCGAGCTGCTCGGGGCAGCTGCCAAAGAGCTTTGCTCGGGCTCCTCTCCCCACTGTGACAGCCCTGCTCACTGCCCCACGGATGGTGCCCAAAGGCACGGAGAAAAGTTCCAGTGTGGACGTACATGGGCTAGGATGGGCTAGGACCATGCAGGGGGGGGGCTCAGGGGCCAAGAAGTGCAGTGCAGGGATGCAGGGAGTGTTGCTGCTACGGGGTGGGGAGGGGGAGAGAAATACCTGACTTTGCAGTACGCCTGCCACCTTTCGATCCAGACGTAACGCAAGCCCTCGAAGAGGTAGTAGCGCAAGACGTTCTTCTGAGCAGAGCAGGATGGAAAAAGAAGGGGTGTTAATGGCACAGGAGGGCAGCCCATGTCCAGGGAGAGGATTTACGGGGTGGAGGTGGGGTTGCTGGTGCTACCTCTTCCTTCTGATGGAGCCGGATGGTGTCCCGGCTCTCCTCCTCATCCGCCACGCCGATGGCAATGCTGGTTCTCCGGTCCTCCAGCCTGGCTCCCAGGTGATGCTCCAGGCTGCTGGGGGTGGAAAAATAAGCATCAATCCCTCCCCATCTGCTGCAATTACAACCCTTCGTAGTCAGGGCTACAGATCTGAAGTGCTTCCCCCACGTAACAACACAGAGGACAGGCCAGGAGCTTGGAAAAGCTGCTCAGGAGCACAGCCAGCTGCCTCAGGAAGGGTAAATTTGGGTTCAAAGGGCTGTGAGGGATCAGCCCTGCCCTCACCTGCCTTCGCCCAGCACCTCCGTCCGCACACGCGTGGTGAAGCACTGCCCGAAGCGATCCTGCAACACACCCGGGGCTGGCGGCAGGGTCCGAGCGGGGGCAATCGGCAGCCACCAGCTCCCCACGCCCCGGCCCCACGGGGACTTACCCTGATGATGACCCAGTCTGCCTGGCCCAAGGCGCAGGGCTCGCACTTCACCCGCACCTCCAGGCTGGGTTTCCAGTGGAAGAGCAGCAGCAGGAGCCCCGCCGTCAGCACGGAGCACGCGTGGCACAGGGCCACCCTCCACGGCTTGGTCTGGTAGCCGGTGACCTCCTGGAAGGACATGGTGCCACGCGGGCTGGCTCGCAGCTCGTCCATGGCCCCTTCACGATATCTGCCCCACAACAGGCTGCTGGCTTATTTACCAATCAACCCCAATAAGGTTATCAATCCTAAATCGATCAAAGCCTGCTGGCGTGACGCGGCACCAGACGAGCTGCTCTGGGGCACTGAGGGCAGCGTCACGACAAGGAAAACACCACAGGAAGCAGCTCTCTCGTTCAACTGCTTGCAATCAGCTTTCTTTTGCTGATAATAAATGGTTTCCTGCCAGCCTGTTCCCAGCTCACCTCCCTCCCTGCACCGAAGCGCTCGGACGTACCATGCAGGATTTGTCGGCGTCTTGCTGCAGCGTCCCGTAGCCTGGCCGCGGGCTGCCCAGCAGCCTGCTGCTGTCTGAAAAGTAAAAGAGAGGGAAAACGCGTTACTGACGGGTGCCAAAAGCCTCACCAGATGAGTGGCAGTGGCTCAAAAGGAGGCAGAGCGGCAGGTCCTCGTGCTGAACCGCTATGAGACATCCTTGGGAGTGCCAGCACCAGGACCTGCAGCCTCACCTGCCACCAGATCCTCGCTGGATGGAGGGAGGGGAGGAACCCGGAGCTGCTCAGGGTCGCAGCTGCCGTGTGGGCAGGGGACACCCCAGAGGTCCCCGGCCACCCCCGTGCCAGCTCCCGCCGCACATGACCGTCACGCGGGCGATGCCAAGGGAGCCCGGGGAGAAAAGCTGGCACAAACAGCGGCTTAGAGCCAGGGGGAAGGGAGCAGAGCTGGTGCAGAGCCAGGTCAAGCACTCAGCAAGCCTTCCCGAGCCGCTTTTCACGCTTATTTGCACCCCGCGTTTCCTCCCGCCTGCCGGACGTGGGCCGGGCGCTGGGAAATGGCCACAAAAGCCGCTTTTTGTCACTTCATCCGCAGCTTCAGCAACCCGCCGTGCGACACCATCACAGCCCTAAAACAGCCTCAAAATCCAGCCTGGACCGAAAGGGGCAGCGTGCCAGGGCAGCGGGGCCGGGTTGATGCCCCAGCCACACGCCGCAGCCGCGCTGTTTGCAGAGGCAGGCGTCGCCCCGCGGGGCGCAGCGGCCGCGGTCTCCTCGAGCGGTGGCGGGGGAAGTACCACGTGGCACAAACGCAGCCCTGCAGCAAGCGGACGGTTTCCTGGCTGGCTGCAGGTTTCCAGGAGGGCACCGTTAATGATTTGTTCGCTGCACGCGGGTGTTGCGAGGAGCTTCTGGAAAAGCCACCCCATCCGGATTCCTGGCGCGGCCGGCAGCCCTTCGCAGGGCTCTGTCCGGCCCCAAAAGCTCGTCTGCTGGGGACAAGAAGCCCAAGGGAGGGTTCAGCTCAAATAAAAGCCCTCACAGGAAGGGCTGTGCATCCTGTGAGGAGCGGAAAAGTCGGACTGTTCCCCAGCAGGCTGCAGGAGGGGAGACGGCTGAAATGCCATGCAGGCGACCCATTTGCTCCCGCAGCACCGCTGCCTTCCCACCTCGCCTCCCTGCTCTCTGTGGCACCGCTTCACTTTTCCTCACCCTTCCCTGCAAACCACAGACCTTTTGGAGGAGTGCACGAGCGCTGCCACAGCTGGTCACAGCCCAACGCTTGCACGACCCCATCCCCGTGGGTTTTCTCACCTCCTGCGCCCATCCTGGCTGCTTCCCAAAGAGCACAAGCGAGCGAGCAAGGCTCTCGCCTGACTCACCCAGCCTCACCCCGCTGGCTGCAGGGCTGGGACGGGGTCGGGATGCCCCTCGTCACCTTGCCTGCTGCTGGATGTATCCGGGACGCATCCGGCACGGGGAGAAGGGAGGGCAGAGCGTGGTGAAGCTGCGCGACCAGTTTGCATCACAGCAGCCACACCTCGTCTGCAAACACAGCGCGGGGGCAGCTGCATCCCTCCTCCTCCTCCTGCCCCCGCAGCAGTGTTTTGCCCCCGTGGTGAAGGCTGGAAGTGCTTGCTTCTCTCTCTGGAGCAGCCATAAATTCAGCCAGGTGAGGAGGGAGCAGCGGGAGCACCTGAGCAACCCTGAGAGCTGCTGAGGGTGCAAAGGGAACGGGAGCAAAATATCCCTGCCGTCCCCAAAGCGCTGCTCTAAGGTGCCACCTGGCACCTTTCCGAGAAGCCACACAATTCCTGCTGCTGAGGATTGGGGGAAAACAGGGGAGAAACGTGCTCAGGGCACCCTGAGAGCCAGCACATGCCCTGCACCCAACCAGAGCTGGACACCTTGAGCCTACACGTCTCGTGGCTCTGAATGCCACCCTGAAAAGCAACCCCAGCTGGGGACATTTTGCACATGCCAGTGCTGGTCCTGCCCCGAAATTTCACCCTGAGAGAAAGCAATTCTGCCCAACAGCAACACGCACACTGAAAACAGATGCACGCCGGTCCCAGAGACCTCTGCAAGCTCCCTTTGCAGCTGCAGCCTTTTTGCGGGCACATTTCTCGAAGCAAACCCCAAGGGGACTTAGAGATCTCCCTCTGCTCTCACGGTCCCCACCAGATGCTCCCTGCTCCACTCAGGGGTTCCTGAGCGTCCTCCTCCCTCCCTCCATCCCCACAAGCGGGCTGGAAGTTGCACTCAAGACGAGGAAAGTCCAGCCTACAAGATCTGGCACCCACTGGTTGGTGTGACGGGCAAGGTCCATCCAGGCCCTTGGAGATGGGGAAACAGAAAAAATCAGGATGAGGTGAAAGCCAGGAAGAAGGGATGAGGGTTGGAAAACTGAAAGTGTCAGCGTGTGGGTCACACGCTGTAATATTTAACAGCTCCAAAGCCAGACCCAGCAAGGGGTTAAACACTGATGAGATCTCATCAAACCTCTCTCCAGCACTTTTTCCAACATAAACTCCCTGTGCAGGCTACCGGAGGGAAACACGACACCCTGCCTGCCGCGCATCCGGAGCCAAACGTGTATTTCCAGGCGGTCGGGTCCTACCCAGACGTGGCATCATCAGCTGTGGGAGCACAGACAGCAAAAAGCCCCAAGGCTGGGAGCAACAACAGGGTGAGACGGGCTCAGCAGCAAGAGCTACAGGGTCAGCGCATGGAAGACGGGGTTCACGCTCTGCCGTTGCGGGTAATCCTGGACAAATCGCTCTCACCCACCTGCAAGCGCTCGAGATGGGTGGAAAAATAAATCCTAGTAGGCGAGGAGCCCCCGCAGCAGCCCCAAATCTACCTCAGGTGGATTTTGGTGGCTTGTTTCCCCCCGGCTGGGCTCGCACCTTGCAAGGAGGGATTACGCAGGAGTGGGACGGCGGCGGAGGCACGGGCAGGGTTCACTTGGCCACGTGCTGACGATGCCGGCGGTGATAAAGTCCTTCCAGGAAGGCTGTCTGCACAGCGCTGGTGTTTTGCCCCATTGGGGACTGGGGGGGTTTCTCCTCACGGCCCCATACTTCGTGCTGGCCCAGAGCCACGGCTGCTTGCCGAGCCCGGAGCAGGCACCCAGGGGCTCTGGTGGAGGAGTACCCACTTGGGAAAGCCCAGCAAGGGGAATAAAATCAATATATCCACACCAACCCGCTGCATTTTCCCAAATATCGGGTGGGTGAAGGGCTCCTGCCTTCCCCAACACCCAACCTGCCCCTGGTTTCTCCTCTCAGGGAGCTGAGCCAGGAGCAGCGCATCGCCTGGCCGCCACTTCTCCCTTCCCAGATTGGGTAAAAAAAAATAAAAAAATTAAAAAAAATAACCCGAGGTTTGACCCTGAAGGCTGCAGTGCGAGGCGGCCACAAGCCAAGGGGTGGGACCCGGCACCTGCCCCCGACACGGAGCCGGGGCTGAGCCCCCGGGGGGGGGTTTCTGCCTCCCCTCCTGCTCCCTGGCTCCACGCTCAGCATCCCTGAAGCTGTTCCCGTCCCTGTGCCCGGCACCACCCCGGGCCCCACTCGCGGCGCCGCGGCCCCCACGCGCGACGCGGCCCCACCTCACACCGCCCCCCCCCTCCCTCCCCCCCGCTGACCTGAGCTCATGGCGGGCCCCGGCTGAGGCGGCCGCCCCCGGGGCCGCGGCCCCACGCGCACCGGGAGGCGGTGGCGGCGCAATGGCGGCCGCGCGCGGGGGCTGCCGGGAGTTGTAGTCCGCTCCCTCAGCGAGGAGATGGCCCCGGGGCTGCCCCCAAAAAAGCTTCGAAAGCCCGGCGTGGCTCCAGGAGGGGTTGGGGGGCGGCGTGACCCCACAGCATAATGCATGGGGTCTGTCCCCGAAGGGGCGTGTGAGGAAATGCACGAGGCTGTGTCCCCAAAGGGCTTTGTGTCCCCACATCGTGTGAGGAAACTCACCGGGCTTTGTGTCCCCAAAAGGCTTTGTGCCCCCAAAAGGCTTTGTGTCCCCCCAACCCACACCAGGCTCTGCATCCCCCCCTCCCGAATTGCTCGCACCCCCCCCCCTGCAGCAAGTGTACCTCAGGGAAGGCTCCAGGGATAGGGGTGCTGAAGCCAGTAACCCCCAAATTTCCTCAGGTGGGGGAAGCAGCCCTACATCTGCCCCCCAGCAGGCTGCACTGGCTGAAATCTGGGCTCTTGGGTCCCCACCCATTGCAAAACTATTCGTAACTTTTAACCAAAACAAAGCAAAACCCAGTTTATTTGTATTCCAAACCCATGTAACTGAAGAGAAGGACACACTGGGAGAGGAGCCCTTTGGCCTCCCAGTGGACGCTGGTTGCAAAGCTTTTTTTTTTTTATTCAAGTTGTTCCAGGCAATGCCCTGGCTTCAAGTGGAGAGTTGACATTTTGAAGCACCAAAATGCAAAGCAGACAAACATCTGTGTCGTGGAAGTGATAACAACACAGCCCCGCAGCAGGGACTTGCGTACAGCCCCGGTTCTTACCCAACCTTAACCACAGCTCACCCAAGGCGCAAAAGGGAGGGGAAACAGGGACAAGGAAAGGCAGCCTGTCAGTCATAACTAGTAGGTGTTAAAAGTGTGACCTATGGGACTCTGTGTCACATCAGATCTCAGGAACACCGATGTGTAGCTCCAAGAAAAAAGTTCTGTAATTGTGCAAGTGAGTATTGAAGGATCAGCCTGGCTTCTTAAGAAACCCACAAAGCTTTTTTACTGCAGGCAGAAACATAAGGAAAAGAAAATCATTTTGTGGGTAAGCCTTCCCAGAGCTGTACAGAGCAGCCTTTTTACACCACCCCAGTACCTGTTTCTGCTCACTAGCTGTTACCAGACCACACCTCAGCAGCAGTGCACCATCATGACCCTTCTAGAAAACTTTACTCATCTAAGCAAAGATCTGTTAAACAGTGAAACAGAAAGCACTTCCCATCTCACCACCCCTCCCAGTCTCTATCACATTCTTATCAGGATTACCCACAGTTGGTATTTAGAGAACATTTATCTGAAAGTTAACAGCGGGGCTTTTCATCAAAGCTAGGGCTCTGGACTGGGCTCTCCACATCAGGGTAATTCCAACTCAAAAATTCTTTTTCCCCCTAACGTGCACAGCACTAAGACTGCAAAAGGCTGCATGAAGTAACACCCTACCCTGGGTATCTCAAGCTTGAGAAATCTGGAGCTTAAAACCACTTGTGCTGAAGCAGAGGAAGGAGAAAGCATCAACACCATTTCATGCTCTGATAAATCTTAGCTATTTTAGGACTTAGAAAAAAATAAGCTTCTCAGCAGGGCCATGTCAAGACAGCTCATTTCCACTGACTTCACTGGGATTCCCCCCTGCAACAGCAGTGCTGTAAGGAACCTCAGGAAGGACACAAAGACCTTCCCAGTGGCAGTTGCCACTGCCACCAGTATTTTGCCACACATTTGCACCCTCTGAGCACCAGGGCCTTGCTTTGCTTAGTATCAAGGAGCCCCGCTACAGACTTCAGAACAGAGTGAGATTCTTCCAACACCTCCCCCCTTTCCCAGCCACTGCCATTGTTTTCTCCTTGCTCATCACCACAACACTCACTGCTTACGGGCCTCCCTGAACACTGTGTTCCCTCTGAAGATATTGGATGAAGCCCATTACAGAAATGTCTCCATTCATCTCTGCTGTGGGGCCACTTCCTAAATTCCATCCCACAGCAGAACCTGAGGTGACCCCAGCCTTTCATACACTCAGAACTGCAAACCAGAAAGGTTTGGGACTCTCAACTACAGGCTTACGCACTTGTCCAAGAGGCAGAGGCACTGGTTCAGCATTGTTAGTAAAGCAGCAACTCTTATTTCTTCTTTACAGTATTTATTGTACGTGCAAGCCTATGGAAAAAACATCAAAAATTCCCACTGGAGACTTCTCTTGCTCAACCAGGTATAAATTACTTTCAGGTAAAGCATGTCCGTGTTACACTTCCAGTTAGGAAACAGCATTACGCAGCGGCTGCCTTCTCTTTGTAAGTTGCCATCATCTTCTTGATCTCAGCAATTGCTTTGCCAGGGTTCAAACCCTAAAAAGAGAAAGTTCTGGTGAGTTTAGAAATCAGCAAGTTAGAGTATCCTCCCTCACCTTGCTTCAACCCAAGTCACCATAAACTCACAGCTACACCGCTACTCATAAAAACAGCTGACAGAGGAGGTGCTCAGCAACCATTTTTTAAAGCCGGAGCCCAGCCCAGCATTGCACTTCAAGCGCTGGCAGCGTACAGGATACTGAGGGCAGGCTGGGCACTGCAGCACGCGGAGCCCCCTGGGATAAGGCATGCTGATGCAGGTTCGCTGCAATCCAGCCTCGATGCACAAGGAAAGAGCATCCAGCCCGGGGTCAGACTGGCACTGCTCCAGCTGGGAGCGGGCACAGCTTGGAGCACACCTCCTCCACCTGGAGGCTGAGCCAGAAGCGCTTGAAGAAAAATGCTCTTTTGACTATAGAGGACTGGTTTTAGTCAGCACTGCAAGGATCAGAGAGAAGCGTAAGTGGCTGAGTGATAGGAACTCTGAAGTTCAAGCAGGACTGAATTCAGGACTTCTAAGGGTATTTATTATGAGATGACTTCTGGTGGCAGGAAACTGCTTGACAGTGATAGCACAAGAAGTGTGTTTGTTCTTTTTTCCTAACCTGAAAAAAAAAAAAACCCTGTGTATTTGAGGACACTAGGGGAAGTGGGCAAGAATACCAAGTCACAAGATAAAAATGTTCCTTGTGCAAAAGGCAACCATGTCTTCCAAAAAAAAGTTTTTCTGTGAAACACATCACAGAGGCCCCTAATCCTGCGGCAGTGCTAGCAAAGCAAGCATGCCTAATCTCAAAATGAGAGTTGGGGATCACAACTACCCTGCCATATCGTTGCAGGGACAGCAGCAGCACTACGAGACAAAGCATGGACAGGAAATTACCCTGGTGCATAGCTCACCACGCAGTCTTACGGAGCTGATCAAGACAACAGCCAGGATTACAGCTTGTGAGGGGAAATGTGTTATTAACCATAGACGTATCTCTTAATTGACAGACCAAGCCCCACTGTGCTATTTCCCTACACTAGGTACAGCCAGATCTTCAGATTGAACCTTCACCTTTATCTGAACTACGTCTGACACCAGATCACAATACGCCACCCTAGACAAAAGGGGGATTATCAGTAGTCAGTGAATCACGTTAAATACACAGAAGCAGCAGGCAGTGCTCCTGACAAACACTTGTCAGTCCAGATCTCAAGCACCTTATTTTTCCACATCCGTGATCCACTCAAGCATTTGTGTGCATATTACTTCACAGCTTGAGAAGAATTTTGCTTTACCACCAGGTGCAAGCAACATCTGACTAGAATATAACACGGCTAGCAGGAAAATGAAACTTGATTATCTGCCTAACCACAGGCCCAAAGTCATTGCAAGATGAGGAAGAAGCACACTCTGATTTGGGAAAGCCTGCTCAGTTCTCAACTGAAACACTAGACAGAACAGACTTTCTGGGAAATGCCCTTACAGCAGGATGTCAGCATAAAACACATCCCCCAAAGGCGCTGAAAACTTGCCATAATCTTCTGTGTTACGCAAGTTGCACAATACATCAGGGAACTGCTGCTGCTGTTGGAGTGTAAGCTAGCACCGTGCTGGGGTTAAGCATATTCCTCACAAGGCTAACAGCACTGATCAGACTCCACAGAGGACAATCTTCCCTATACCATTCCTGGCAGCGTCCCTTGCATAATCATGTTACGGTCACAATCCTACAGTCTTAGAAACAGATGTTCCTGTGAAGTCTAACAAAAACTTTGCCACATCCTCTTGTACAGTCACTGTCACAAGCACAACGGCTGATAACTCACTGCTTCAAAAGGTGAAAGAAACACACAAGCCAAGGAGAGCTCAAGGAAAACAAAAAGGGGGCATTTTCCTACCAGTTTGAAACAGTGTGCTTGGAAATAAACCAGCAATCCCCGGATGGACATATGCTAGAAGAACACATACCTTTGGGCAAGTTCTTGTGCAATTCATGATGGTGTGACAACGGTAGAGAGAAAACGGGTCTTGAAGTTGTGCCAGGCGTTCCTCTGTGTAGTCATCCCTGGAGTCAATCATCCAGCGATAGGCCTGAAATCAGTGTCATTTGACACACCAAATGATTCTTCAAGGTGAAGTAATCAGTGGGATATTTTAAAAGCCACACCTAACCCAGGAATTTTGGTCCAAGATGTGGACTACGTCATGCTGTCCCACTTGTGCTTGCAGATATTTGTAGGGCTTTTAGCTGAGGAGTCCCTCAGCAGTCCCACAGGACGCACGGGCTCTGTCCTTACCTGCATCAGTACCGCAGGACCCAAGTACTTGTCCCCGTTCCACCAGTAACTGGGACAGCTGGTGCTGCAGCAGGCACACAGGATGCACTCGTAGAGTCCGTCCTGCACACAGATGGAAGACCACAGTCAAACCACTCCAGAAAAAAACATGATGAAGCCTTTTTTTGTTTTTAAAGAGGGGATTTACACAAGCACGTGCTTCCCTCACCACTTTCCTCTCTAGCGGCCCAATGCAATCCTGTAACTCTGAAAGCCTTACACTGAAGAACTGCTGCTGGCAGAAAGCAAAACCTACACAAGGGTCCCTTGAAACAAAAGGCACACAATCCCTTGGCCCCTACAATATATATATATTTTTGTGATAATCAGAGAAAAAAGTAAAAACTGAGAAAGAAGTAGAAATTGACCAATTTGCCTTGCTTCTAGCCTGTCCCAATGAGCAGCCAAAGAACAGAACACACGCACAACCAATTAGCAATTCCAGGCCATGTTACACAAGCAAAATCCACCCAGGAGCCAGGGGAGAAGTGACGAGCTCATCACTTAACATGTTGAGGGGATCCCCAATCACTTACAGAAGGGGAATGGTGTGAGTCTTTGGCCATCGTGTCCTTTCTACAGGGCTGAAGGCCTTTTTATTTTGGGTACTGACGAAATGAAAGGTAGATGTAAGTGGAAGTACCACAGGGCAGAAAAGTCTCCCAAGTCTTATCTCAACCAATTCCCCAACCTAGAAGAGTCCAGTCTGGCTTAAACTATGTATCTGAAAGTTGTTTTTTTAGGACAAGAGTCTCACTTAGTTTAAAAAGACACACAAAGCTCCTGGGAACTTGTAGCAAATCTACTGCATCGTAAGGACTGCTCCAGTATACTTAGGGACTTGCCCAAACTAGTTAAGTCACAGTTTCCTTTTGCTCTAAATTTGTCTCATTTTTAATTGTAACATGGCAAACAGTTGACGATTTGAAGAACAACGTGAGAGTTTTTTGGTTTCCTTTGTGTTCAACAGTTTCTTGAGCACACAAGCTATTCCCAAAGCAAGAGGAAGTTAAATGATGAGAAACATCAACTTTACTAGTGGTCAGAAAGATTCACAGACAGCTCTTGCAGCTACTCGTAGTTTTGCTTATTTCTCCTTCAATGAGAAGGTGACTTCAAAGATGCTGCTTTATAAAAAGCGTGGGAGAATCCCTTTAGTCCTTACATATGCCATCAGATAACATTATGAAGCAGTGCAGAAAAACTAAGTATTGCCCTTGGATAGAAGCTATTTGAAACTAAAATCCTGTGGTTGTTAAGACTTCACAGCAGTACTTGCATGGTGCTACTGATGTTCTGGGCACATGACAAGTCTATTCATCGGATGCTAACTTCACAGCAAACACACATAATGGGAAATTTTAAAACATCACTGCAGAGAATTAGGCTGCAGCTCATGTGTTTCCATTAAATCCCCTTCAATCAGCCTTCCTCTCTGTTGCTTATATTCACCCCTTTTACCGCTTGCCAAAATCTACACTGCCTGCCCACTCTGAGCCTCCTCAGTGGCAGTGCTGCAGCAATGATCACAGCAGAGCACTGACAGGCTGAACTTCAAACTGCCGAGTGAAGGATTCATCAAGACAGGCCGGAGACAGAAGAGAAATCGCTGATTTAACAATACTTCCTGCAGCAGCCAAGGTAATCCAGACAATAACTTACCTGCACCATAAGCTCTTTTTAAAATACTATCCCCTCCCACCTCTTCAGATGGTTCCTTAGACCCCCCTCAGCTTTGTGCAGAAGCTTTGAACCAAGAACACCGAGTTCCCAGAAAACCCCTGAAAATAACGCAGCGCTCAGGACAGACATCCAAAGACTCTCACCAATATCATGCATGTCTCTACATCTGAGCAGGTTTAGCTTTTGCCATTAGTTTCAGGGCTGTAAAACCCAGCAAGTAATGACAAGACAGCACTGCTTAGCATGCTGCAGCTAGGTAACGCAGACAGTGCTGAGCTTGACAGCCTACATCCTGGCATCAGCTGCAGCGTCTGATCTCCACTGGAATATTACAAGTCTCTACCCATCACAATGTTTGTACAAACACACAAGTTTCGCGGCACAGACAGTGGAAATGAGGTCAGAGTCCTCAGCACAACCGTGTTCTGCATTTCATTAGCAAATGTTACCCCTAGCAATGCAGACATGCCATGACACTGCATTTCAGGGACCACATTCCACCCACATCAGGCTTTGTACCAGACAGCTTTGTCATTAAAGGAACTAGAAACTGTACTACATTTAACCCTGCTCTTATCTGGAAGGGATTTCAATGGTAGAAAAGAAGGGTAACCAGTTTCTGACGGTCTTCTATGGACTGCAGGTACTGCTCCTTGCCCTGTTTCGACTCATCCTTCTTCTTCAGGTAAGGCTCAATGGATTTATACTGTGCATAGAAGTTACTCAAGTCCTAGAAGCCAAAAGGCAAAAAGATCACATTTATTAAGTGGGATTGATGTCTGAGAGACCAAACATCTGCTATCATTCAAACAGAAGGCGTTTTGTACCTCAACCTGCTGCATTCCTCCTAACGAGGCAAGATTTAGTCACCACTGGTAAGCAGACCCACCCAAGCCAGAGAGCATCAGCAGGAGTTAAGACGTGAGTTGTGGGATGTGATCTTGCTGCCATCTCCCAACATTATCCCTCCTAATCCAACCCAAACCCCACGCCGCCTGGGATGGTGTCACTCTTGGTCACAAGCTGAAGAGGGCAGATACTCACCGGAACAAGATCCTTCACCACATACATGTGGGGGAGAGGGTAGATTTTAGTGATCTTGCCCAGATCAGGGTCAATTCTTTTGGTGCAGGCCAGGGTGTTTCCGCCAGCAATGTTCATAGCACAAGAGCCACAGATGCCTGAGTGGGAGAAAAGAACAAAGCATTAGATGTTTATTTACTCTTTTATCCCGATTGAGAAAGATCCTCTTGGCCCCAAACCTGCCCCTGGCTCGTCTTCCATTCTGTTGTCGTTAAGAACTCTCTACGTGACAAGGAAAACGCCAGAAGTTGCCACTGAGCCAAACACGTTGCTATTCAAACACAGAATAAATGCTGGAGTCGCTTTCATTAATGTCTAAACACATTCTCAGTGTTGAGCTTCCTTCCACAGCAAAACAAGTGGTTCAGACAGTTCATCACTTCACATCACGCATTAGCTGTACGTGCTACTTTGCTTGGGGAAAACATTCAGCTTTGCTCCCAAGTTCGAAATGTGGGCCTGACGCGGAGCAGCTAACGCTGGGACTGTAACACATGAGGCAGATGCGTCCCCCACCAGCCCCACAGTTATAGTCAAAAGCATCCCTAAAGGTCAGGAGCACAAAAATAAGTTCCCAAGGCAGAAGACTCTTTCTGTAGCAGGCTGTAGTCGTGCCATACACTGCTTTCATTAACTCCTAAAGGTGAGAGAACAGACACTCACACAACAAACAGCATATAAATAGCTCAACAAATGGATTAAGTGACACTGCTCGTGATCGCCCGGTAATACAAGGAACAGATGTAGCCCAGGAAAGGGCAAGGTTCACAAGAAAAAACACTGCAGAACTGTCACAGATCCTGCGCAGGTCAGGAGCTAGCTCTGGCATCCAAATCAGACCGATGCCTAAGACACTGCAATCGAAAGACAACAAGTGCTGAAGGGCGGAACTAATTTCAGAGGATTTGACACGCATCAATTGACGTGAGTCAGGGAAACGCCACCGCTCCTCGCGCTGAGCGAGCCAGTCCTCCATGGCACCTGGGGCACTGGCAACCTTGCCCTCACTGCCAGGCGAAGATTGGCAATCGAACAAGGCTGTTCCCACCACGAGAGAAACAGTTACAAGCATTTCTCAGTCACCCTGAGATGGAACCAAGACAACTGGAGACTGCAGACATGGGCCCACGAGTAAGCAACACAAACACGTGATCAGATTTTTTTTTCCCTGTATGGCAGAAAAGGAGAAGACCAAACCAGCCCAGCTTGAAAAATCTGTCTTCAGATTCTCAAAGAAAACTATTCAGTGCAATTATGTCCAGCTGCTCAGGAACCGTGTCTGCTATCTAGACATCAGACACTGAGAACAACCACACTGGATAAAATTCCTCTGCCTGCTATGCAGATTCTACAGGAAACGGCTGCACTGAGGTATGCTTTTCACTTAGATCTGTGTCAAGATATCTGTAGGCATCAGAGTATTAGACCTAAATTTCCAGTACTTGCAAACCCACCCCATTAAATCAAAAGTCGTTCCATAAAGGCATCCTCCCTTCCTGCGTTTCCACAATCATCTTAAGCTCAGCACACCAACCTTACCCATGAATTAGGATTTTTTCTCCCCGGGGAAGAACGTCACCCGGACTGGTGAGTTTGAGTGCAGTTAAACAAATACGCTGATTTGTACCTGCCTGAGAACCAGCCGGGAACTCTTGCAGTGGAAAACCACCAGATGGCCTTTTCCTCAATCGTTCAGCTTAGTCAAAGGGCCAAAAAAGATTCCTGAAGCTATTCCTAGAAGTCATTCACACTCTTCCAGTTCCACCCCTACTTATTTCCTCAGTAGCACCACGCGAAGCAGCCCCTTACATTTCACTCCCGTTTGCCACGTCTTCCCCCCCCAGTTCTTCTGCTATAACCTCTCTTGCTAAACTTCCCTACGCAGTCTGTCACTGGAGGGCAGCAAGATGAACAAGATTAGGACAGAAACAGGAATGACTGGGGCTGTAAGCACACTGCTTGCAGCTCGGCGTTGTGTGATTACACCCTGCGAACACGAGCTCTACCTTCCCTGCTTGATTCACTGAGGGATTTCATGGGCAACATCTGGAAGAGAAGAGTGGTACGCTGCGGTCTGCCCTGAAGTTTTCCACCGGTTACACACAGACAGTCAGCGTTAGCTTTTATTTGGACAACAAGCAGTCAGTTTCGCAGTCTTAAACATCTTCCTTACCTTCCCTGCATGACCTGCGGAAGGTCAGAGTGGAGTCCAACTCGTTTTTAATCTTGATCAGAGCATCGAGTACCATGGGCCCACATCTATAGCAGAAAACAAACTCAGTGAACCTGTATAATTTCCCCCCAGCCTCACTGCTTTATCTCTAGCACCAACTCAGAGCCACCTAAAAGGACTTTCATCTCAGATACAATTAAATATACACTTTGTTTTGCCAATCCCAGGCAACAAGATAGAGATCACTTGATCAGCAGCACAACCCACCCGCCTGGGCACAGCGGCTCACCCCAGGGTCAGAGTGGGACAGGAGCCATTTATTTCGCTGATTCCCAGAAGATTTGGCTCAGCTGGAGAGGGTTCAGACAGCACAACTGGAAACAACGTGCAGCTCTACCCCTTCTCGCCTCTTAAGTCAGGTTTTGACAAGTCTGCCTGTCCTCATTAGTCACAAGAGGCAATGCTGCATGCAAAAGCAAACAAAACTTCAGTAATGTTATAAACAGCAGGCAACACCCAGAAATTATTAACTGGTGCAAGTCAAAGCAGCAAAGTTCGATTTCGCTGTCACGTGGTGCTTCAGCAGCGCTGCGTGGCTCTGAATCTGAACACTTCAGGAAGGGCCCGAGGTGAATTCCTCCAGCAGGAACACGGCAGCAGCTGAAGGAAGTCAAGGCACGTGTGCCCCTGCCAAAGTTTCTACACCACAGGGCAGACTGTACCCTGCTGCGGGATCACGGAGAAACGCGAGCTTCCTTGGTAGCTACCCCAGTGTGAAAGCTGGAAGCTCAATACGAGCAGCCGACGAGAAGCAATTAACTGAGACAATAAAACTTCCACCTTATCTCCAAAGTCTGGGACTATGATCTGTGCTTAAAACTGCTTCCTTTTGGAATGTGCCCCCAAATTTGCCGTATAAATATAGCTCATTACAGCCACGAATTCACCGAGGTCTTCAACATCAATCAGGGACCAAGGTGAAACCTCACAGAGTCACAAAACGAAGTGACCATTGTATTGCTGACAGCTGCTGAGACGCTGGCATTCAGGGGACAATTGTATTTGTCACAGCTGTCACCGCGGGGTGAGGGAGGGGCAGCAATCCCACCTGCTCACAGCAAGATTTCATTTATCAAGAAATACCACCGGGCCTCTCCCACGTTGACGTGCTGCGTAACACGGCCGAGGCGCTGCCTCCCTGACTGCTCTAACGTGGTTTTAACGATCCCTGAGGCCTAATGAGACTTCTGACACCTTCAGCTGTCAGCTCCGAACCCTCTCCAGCACCCTGCGTTATCGCCTGTCAGATAACGTGCGTGCACACGCGGCCCCGGCGCACCTCCCTGCCGGGGAAGCTGAGCAGCCCTCTCCCTAATCAGGTGCACTCACTTATTCAAATCCACCTCGTACGTCTGCATGCGGGGCTTGTCCCCAGGCTTATCGGGATCCCATCTGTAGATGGAAAACTTCTTGATGCGTGGCGCGGCCGCAGCAGCTGTCTGTGCTCCCCGACAGATCTGCATGTGAACAGCAGCAGAAGGGCCCTTAGGTCCCTCTGGGCGGCTTTTAGCCGGCAACAAAACGTCTCCAGGCTGTGCGCTTCGGGGCGAGAGCTGCAGGGTCCATCACTGGGTTTGCATTCAGGCACGCGTGCAGAAAGCCCTTCCAAGGATCTGCCGGAGCGGCGCACCTTGGCACTTCTCTGTCCTGGGGCTTTCTCCTCTTACAAGAACCAGGGGGCACAATCCCAAAACTAAAGGGCAACCCTGAGGGCTGTGCCAGCTGCCCTGAGAGCCGTGGCCCTCCCCTGCCCTGGACTGAGGACCCTCTCCTCCCAGCGCTCCCCCAGGAGCCCCTCTCCCCTGCAGGCCCCCTGCCCCAGCTCCCCTCTCCCCAGTTCACCCCACAGCCTGCGTCTTTACTGCTCCTATCCCTGTGCCCAGCCCTTTACTATCCCCTCCTGGACCCCCTGCGTCCCTCAGCCCCTGCCTCCCCCTCAGAACCCTCCCCAGCCCCCCTCCCAGCCCTCTTCACCCCCAGCCCCTCCCCAGCACCCAGACCCCTTCCCCTGCTCCTACCTGCCCCGAGCCCCGTTCCCATCCTTTGCTGCATCTTCCCCCCCCTACAGCCCCCCAACTTTCCCCGAAGCCCCTCTTCCCACCTCCTGCTGCCCCCCAGACCCTTTCAGCCCCCCTCCAACCCCCCCTGCGCCCCCTCCTGCCCCCCAGACCCCTCTGCCCTCCTCCTATCCCCCCCAGACCCCTCCTCTCCCCTTTATTCCCCCCCAGACCCTCCCTGCCCCCCCCACGCCCCCCCCCAGACCCCTCCGCCCCCCTCCTGCCCTCCAGCTCCCCCCGGCCCCATCAACGCCCTCCCGCTCCCTCCCCACCTCCCTCCCCGCACCCCGAGCCCCCCCCCTCGCTTCCAGACCCCGCTGCCCATCTCCCCGCATCCCCGGGGCGGCTCCGGGCCCTCACCGGCCTGGGCCCGGCCCGCAGGAGCCGCGCGGGGACGCCGCGCCTCAAGGAGACTCCCACCACGGCCGCCGCCATCTTGGCGCTGCGCACTTCCGCCCCCCGGACCGGAAGCGGAAGGAGCCGCCCAGGCCGACAAGGAGAAGAAGGGAGGCGGGAGGGGTAGTGCTGGCCGCCATCTTGGGTGTGGCGGCGGGCGCGGGGAGCCGCCATGTTGAGTGTGGCATTGCGCTGTGGCATAGGGGGCTAGCGCTGCCCGTCCCCCCCTTTTTTGGGGATTGGCAGAGCAGGAAGGTCCTCCTCGTGCTGAATCCCCATCCTTCTTCCTTTTTTTTTTTTTTTTTTTTTTTTTTTTTTTTATTTCAAAGCCTCAGCACTGGGCCAGGCAAAATGGTGGGTGCCAAGATGGCGCCCCCGCCTCAGCCTCCCCCTGAGCGCCCTCCTCTGCTTCTCTCGCCCTTATCCCCCCAGTTTTGTCATGCTCCACCTCGTTTCCCACAGCAAATTTATTAGTTAACTGAAGTGCAAACAACACACGCCCAAAAAAAGGCGGCCACGGGCCGGGGAGGTGGCGGCGCGGCTATGGTGTGGCGTGCCACCAGCAGAAGGCAAAGGGCCGGCGCTGGACGTTGGTGCCGCAGCGCACCTCCCCGAGCCGCCCGTGGTACGAGGCGACGTCCTCGAGGAAGTGGCACCGCAGCCCCAGTGGCTCCAGGAGGCTGCGGACATGGTGCTCCAGGCAGCATTCGCCACCCAGCACTGGGCCGAAGGGCTTGGGGATGCCCAGGTCCTTGGCCAGGATGATCATGGGGACCTGTGAGGTGACACGGGGGGCTTTAGGGGTACCCAGAAGCATCTCCAGCTGAGAAGCCAAAGGAAAGCAGTTGGTGATCCTCCCAAAATTGAGTTACGGCTGTTATGTTCTGTAGCTTCCCTTCAGGAGATCCAGCACAGTTCCCCCCCCCTCTCTCTCTCCTTTTTTTTTCTTTTTAATAGATTTAAACCTTGCCATTTCACCACTTTGAAAGGTTTTCACCTCAAAGCTGTTCGGGTTAACCCAACCATGAGCAACATGCATCAGAGATGCAAGGTTACAGCCAACCTTTGCTGTTGACCAACCGTAGTCAACCTGCAGAGCCTGGATGGAGGTATTTTCCCTTTCTGGGCAGGAAAGCACTATGCTTTTTTGGACATCGTTAAGGATGGGAGGATCATGGTCATGGGCTTAGCTATTTTTCCTCTCCACATCTCAAAACACACAGCCACTGACTGGAGAGAACGCGAGGAGCAGGGACACCTCTCACCATGTTGGGGAAGTACGGCATGGCCTTGCCTTGCTTGTCAAGCTTGAAGAGCGCTGGCAGGTCGATGATGTCCTCCTCCGTCAAACCCAGCTCCTTCTTGAGGATGTCCCTGTTCCAGTCAATGCAGCGCTAGAAGGAGAGGAGAAGAAGGGACTTGGGGGACAGGCAGGCAAACAAGGTTCCCCCAAGTGGCCTTGTGGACACTCTCATGCAGGAGGAGAACATGCCAAAATTCAATACCTCCTTTGAAAGTTCGTGCCACGCTGGGGCTGTTATCACAAGAAATATTGGTTATCATCAGAAATATCGGCTGTTACCTGAACGTACTGATTCTGCTGCACCATAATGTTGTTGGAAAGGACCTTGTTAATGGTCACTCGTTTTGTGTCCGTCCCCGAATACCCTACAAATGCAAACCCCGATGGGTGAAATGGATGCCTGCAGAAGCCTGGCTTAAGATGTGGCACAGATATGGAAAAGTTCCCCAAAATCCCAATTTGCCGAGCTTGGATTAAGGTTTTGGCTTAAGGTTGAGGCTGCTGGGAATCCCATTTCTTAGCTTACTGGGAAACCAAGCAAGAGGGAAAGCTTTGCCTCTTTCACAATATCTTCACCTGACCTGGAGAGCATTGGAAAGTTTGTATCATCCGTCTTCCTGATGACAGAGCTAATAGGATAACAGTTTCTATGCTGTCCCAATTCTCAGCTCCATAAGATCAGAGGTATCCCCTCCACAGAAGCCACCTCTTGTTTTGGGACGTTCGGTTCCTAGGCAGATAGCATAGTCCCAGAGGGCCCTGTGGTGGCATGGATGTCCTTTCCCGACTTCATTGCAGACAGATGAATATTATCCCAAACAAAACCTCAGTCAGAGGCTGCCCAAACTGGCTACCAGTCCAGAGTGACTGAAATGTCTTTGGGGTGACGTGAGACCCCCAGTTGTGTCACTCTCCACTGGAGCTGGTATTTACAGAGATGCTCCATCCCACCCCACCAGCATCTCCTCCGGGTAGAGGGCTTTATCCCTCACATCCCACTCACTTTCCCAAAATAGGGCTCGAGGGTGGGCAGGCATCCTGCCCAAGGACAAGCATGCCAGTCCCTCTTGCCAGCCTTGAAGGGCAACGGTTTGGGAAAATGTCCCCTTCCCTGTGCCCCCAACACCCGAATGTCACTCCAGGCATGTCGGGTGCTGCCGCCCTCAGGCTGCCTCACCCTACATCAAAGCTCAGCCTTTATTTTAGGGACAGGGATCAGCACGCTTCCACCCACCCCAGCGGGATTTGCACAATTCCCCCTGGGTTGCCTGCTGCCCCCTTGCCTTTGAACATGGTGGCTTCGCCCTGGCCCTCCTTCTGCTTCTCCCGAAAGAGCTTGTAGCACGCCGTGGGGCTGGCCATCAGCATCCGAAATCTCTGGGACAGGTGGGAGGGAGAACGGTCACTGAAAGAGGCTTATCCAAAACCATTGCATTCATTTTTTTTGTCTCCAGGCGGGTGTCACAAGGCAGGGGGAAGTCAGGGAGGATGGAGCAAGTGCTGTGATGCCTCACGAGCAGGCAGAAGAAGCAGCATTAAGCTGTTCCCGTGCCACTGGGGGAATCATGAATGCATAGTCTGAGCCCTGTGGGTGTCCCAGCTTGCTCTGGTCTTGGTGACCTCTTCTACAGGGGCTTAGCACAACCTAGATGAAGGCAAAAGGAGGGTTCCTGGTGTGTGTGTGTGCATAATGACTCCTTCTCTGAACCATCCTGCCAAGGGTTTTCCCCAGAGGGAACAGTCTGTTTCTCAGAGGCTAGCTCTTTCCTGTGTCTTTTTTCCCCCTGTTTCCAGCCCATCTGGGAGATGCTGAGCAGCAGCGAGCCCTGGCCAGCTCATATGAGTCTCCCTTTGCAGGCACCTTTTCCCCGATCTCTTGGGGTTGACAACAGCTAAGAAAATCCCTTCCTGCGTTCAGAGCACTTCTTCTAGGGGCATGGGAGAGAAGCCAAGCAAGCACCAGCTGGGGCTGTCAAGGAAATGAGCTTTGGGATTTTCCCTAGAGCTGACCCAGAGGGATTAGCTTCCCCGAAGAGAAACCACAGAGCAGCAGAAGGTTTCAGGGTACCTTTGTGTCGGGGCTGGGCACAAAAGTGACAAACTCGTTGACGTGGCCCGTGGCCAGCCAGTCAGAGTAGAGCTCCACGGGAGCCTGCACTTGCTGGGCGAAGAGGAAATCCCGCACTACTCTGGTCATCCTCCTCCCTGCGGGTCTGGGGGAAAAACAACCCCCGAGAGGGGTGTAAGAGGAGTAAATATTTATCCGTCCCCATATGCATGCACATAGATTGCAGCCAGGGTGGAGGAAAGGAGGGAGGGAGGAAATGTGAAGGCGGAGATGGAGCAATGGGGTTGGGTGCACCCCCTCCATAGAAAGGACAAAATTTGGCTAATGAAGGTGCTTAATGTGAGTTTTGGTGGTATTTAGGGGCACCTGTGGTTCCTTTGCATCCCCAATGTGTGCTTTTCCCATCTCTTACGTAGGGAAGCTGCTGCCGATGAGGATCCTCCCCAGGGGGAACTCCTTCCCTGCCACGGTGACGGGGGGGCTGACCTCCAGGTTGCCAAAGGAGTCGAGGCTGGAGACGGCCTCAAAGAGGGGCTCTCTGCTCACGTAGCCGAAATCAGGGCCCTGCAAAAAGAGAAACTGCCATGAGCATTGCCGTGAGTCCATCCGTGCCCTTATTCCTCCCGCTGGGCCTGGACCTGCTCTGGTGGGTAAAAATAACAAGGATGGGGGAAGAGGAAGAGGCAGCCCTAAAGGCAAAGCAGGAAGATGAAAGTCTCCGGGGCATCTGGGCTCAGCAATAAATGGCGAGTGCCAGAAGCAGAGTTGGAGTGTGGAGTCCAGGAGTGATCTCTGCTATCTCGCAGCTGCTTTTTAAGTGTCCACGTTAAGCTAATTAGTTTCTGGGGCAGCCCCGAAGCGGAGTTTCTGGATGGCTGGAGTGGAGCAGGATGAGCTCTGGCCCTCGAGGGTAAATCCTCCCCAGGCATAAGAACCACCTGAAGGGCTGGGCTTCGCTTAAATCCCATCTAAGCCTGATTTTCAGGACTGAATATATCTGGGATTTGAGGTGTTGGGAGATTAACCCTTGGTGCCATGGCTGGGATGTGCCGAGCGAGAGATTGTAATGCTAAAAACAAGGTGAAAAAGGCACTAGGGACACAAATCCTGCCTGTCCTCGCTCTCTGTTTCAAGTCGCTGTGGGTTTGGAGCTCAGTTCCTGCGCAGTCCCTCAGACACAATCCGTTATCTGTTGTTTTTCATTAAACCTCAATCACTTATTAGTGTCGGGTTTCCTCGGGGGTGCTTCAGTTGAGACAGGTTTCCTGCAGGCTGTCTCCCAGTTCACTCGGGCGGGCACGGCGGTGTTTGCAGTAAGGGGATTTGTCCTCGACGTGCTGCCCTGTCCGCACCCAACCTGCACCTCCTGCCTCGGCTGCACGCGGGTGCAAAGCCCTCGGGGTTGCCCCAGGGGGACAGAAACGCAGCAGGGAGGTGGGATGCGGTTACAGGCAAAAATGTAGGGTTTGGGAAAAACAAGCGAGAAGACCCAAAAGTGTGAAAAAAGTGGGGAAAAGCGATCTAGGAGGCGCTTAGAAAAATAAAATTAAAAAATCAAGGGTGTTCGGAGAAGCAGGGAGGCAGGGATTGAGCACGAAACACCTGCTCCTACCCATTTCAATTTAATAAACACCAGGGCCAGCGGAGGCTCAGCTGTCTGAGCACTGGTTCATCCCAGGTTTG